TATGGGTTTGTTTTCCTCTTAACTGCTTCAGAAGGAGTTCTTATATTTTGCCTGTACACACACGGACATCTTTTAATAGTCTTCTAGTTCATGGCTTGTCTTTTTACTTAATTAGTAGTGTTTCTCAGTGGACACAAGTTCTTATTTTAGTCCATGAGCTCTTTTATAGTGTATGCTTTTAGAGTTATGTTTGAGAAATATATCTCCTAAGATCACAAAGGCATATTTATATTTCTCCTAAATTTTATCAAAACTTTCTCTTGAAATTAAAGCCTTTAATGACATAGGCTTGCTGTGTAGTCCAGGTTGGTCTTGAACTTGGGTGCTAGCATTGAGTGCTTGAATCTCTTGAGTGCTAGGATTGCAGACATGCTCAGTGATATTTAGAAACTACATGTTATGATTGTTGACTTTAAAATATATAGTTCACAGATTTCCAAAATGCCTCTTAAACCTGTGATGTCAAAAGTTTGGTACATAATGCCTTAAATAGTGAGGGAATTGGCAGTTATGGACACCTCCCCCCTCCCCCCAAAAAAGGTATAAAAGGTGTCCTGTGTTAAAGGTGGATATTTTTAAAGATTTGCTTAACTTTTTTCTTTTTATAGCTGATCACAGTTGCGTGTGATGTGCCTGCACTGCCATTCTGTTAACTCCTAGATTACACACCACTGACTAGGACTGAGCTGGTTTGAACACCTGTGTATTACTGCACAATAAAGCAATCTCAGAAATCAAGATACTAATTAGCATATCAGAGGTCAAGGCACCTAATTTGCCTTTCCCCTTGTTACCCCTACTGTTTCCCCATCCCTGGAGTAGAAGATCCATAGTCTGAGATGTGTAAGGAGAGCTCCCTGAAGCCTGTGAGGACCGGAGGACACTGCAGGCTTCCCCTGTGCTTCCAGTGCTGTGACCTTTAGAGTTCTTTAATGAGGCGCTTGTTTGTTCGTCACTATTAGACCAGCTGCTCCACCACCACCTTTCCATCTCTACCTCTACTGTTTGTGGTATCCTAGAAAAGATGGAAAGCCAGCTTGTCTGTGCAGACCATTTACACCTGTAGAGTGACTTCTATGCAATCATAAAACAGGCTGGCTGTTACTCCCCAGGGGCTGTGACTGTGTTTGATTACATCAGTGTCATCAACATGATTTTGAAGGTAGCACAATAAAATACTGTAACTTAAGACAAAAAGTGCCCTTTTGGAAATACTAGGGCTTTTAAAAGTGTTATTTGATGTAGAATATAACTAACATGAAGTCAGCAGTTACCTGCCAGAAAGATTACAAACAGAAGTTTTAACTTAGAACTATGTAAGTCAAATAAGGCATAAAAATTATACTTTAAACATAAGAACTGTTTTATCTGGAAAAATATATTTCCCTTTCAAAGAACCTACTTTCCCTTGACTTGATTCTTGTTGCTGATTTGAATTCTAAATGTTTTTGAAAAATACTTATTTGAAAACATAATATTTTATGTCTAATTTAATAAAATACGAACACGGGAGATCAGGGAGAGGCTCAGTCCATACAGTGCTTGCTGTGTAATTATGAGGACTTGCACTCGGATCCCCAGCTCCCACTGCAAAAGAAGAAGGCTGGGTGTGACGGCATGCCTTTGTAATCCCAGCTCTGAGGACAGCAGAGACGGACCAACCCCTGGAGCCAGCCAGTCTAGCTGAATCAGTGAGCTCCAGGTTCAGTGAGAGAACCTGTCCTAAAAGATAAGGTGGAGAACAGCTGAGGAAGGTACTGCTAGCCTCCACATGCATGTACACACATGAACACTTACACAAACACCTGTACACACATAGACTACACACGAATACAAATAGTAAGTAGAATTTCTTTTGCCCTTTTGATATATAAAATCAAAGAATTATCAGCTAACTTTTGAATTTTTTTGGTGCTTGATTTAGGTGTTTGCCCTTTAGGACAGACACCATTTACGATTTCTTGTAATATTAGTGAATCATAATTGTACGCAAGATTGATGACTTTATGCTAATGTAGTCAGCTGTTCTAGAATCAGCGGAGAGTCCTAGGCAGTGAGGCGAGTAGAAGAGAGAACAGGTTTAAACAGTTCTCACCAGCCCAGGGTGTCTGCACTTTTACCTACTTAAGGAAAAGTGAAACTTAGAGCCCAGCTGCCCTCTATCCTCCGGACATCTCAAGAGTGACCATGGGTAGTAAGACTTATGGATGTGAACTGTATGATGTAAGATAAATGAGCAGCTTTTGTAATTTGAGTGAACTCATGTTATTCAGCCAGTGCTGCCTTCCAGTATGTGAGGGTCACCTGAACTTTATTTTAAGAAGCAAAATCCATTTTATTTTCAGTCTTCTCAGTGTTTGGTATCTTTAAAGTATTTTCAATCTGGTGTGGTGTTGCATAGTGAGTTCTGGCCTAGCCAGGGATATATAATGAGACCCTATCAAAAAGAAAAGAAAGGTAATTTAGATCAGTGTTTTTATTTTATGTGTATGAATGTTTTGCTTGTGTGTATGTGTGTGCACCGCATGTGTGCCTGATACCTGTGGAGGCCAGAAGAGCATGTCAGACCCCCTGAAACTGGATTTGCAGATGGTTGTGAGCCCCCACATGGGTCCTTCCCAAGAGCAGTAGGTGGTAACTGCTGAGCCATCTCTCCAGCCCTATACTGGTTATAAACATTTATAATCTTTGACATTTTGTAGAGGCAAATATTATAGACAATTTAGAGTTAAGTTCTCTTTCCCATTTGGAGTGGTCATTAGTACGTTGCCATTGAATTTGGCACTGACCAATAATGTTGGGGGTGTTTCCTTTCTGCCCACTTAACGTAATCATTTTTACCTTAATATGAACTGTGGTGAATTAGGATGGAACTGACATATTTTTAATCGTCTTTACACTTGAAAATGGTAATGTGGTCTATGATGTGTGGTAAAATAGGCATCTGGCTTCTCTTAATGTTAAGATGTCCTTAAGGTGGGTAATTTTGGCCAAATCATTCAAATTTAGTATACCTCCATTTCCTGTCAGGAAACCAGTATCACAGAATTTTTGCAAATTCTCCAAATGTTGTATGAGTTTATATTGTGTGTGTGTGTGTGTGTGTGTGTATTTTGTCCAGAAAAAGATTATTCAGAGCACGTGTGTTTTCTTTTATAGTTGAATATTAGTTTTTTTAAAGATACAAATCAAACAACTAAGAATTTTAAGCATAGTTCTTTAGAAATCTAACATTTTAATAGTCATTTTTCAGAGGTTTATTTTTTGTACTTAAGGTCTCTAACTTAAATTGCATTTCTAAATTGAGTGTTTTTAGGAATTTAAGTTACCTGATAAATCTTTCTAAGTGCTTAGTTCTTCTAGGTTTGGTATTTGTGAATTTAAAAAATTTAGATATATGTTTAAACTTAAAATCACAAGGCTAGTGGCTGGAGGGATGGCTCAGTGGTTAAGAGCTCTGGCTGCTCTTGCAGAGGACTTGGGTTTGGTTCCCAGCACACACATGGAAGTTAACCACCATCCTTAACTCCAGGGAATCTGATGCCCTCTTCTGCCTCCACTAGCATCACATGCACATGGTACACCTGAATACATACAGGCAAAACACTCATACACATAAAATAATAAAAAAAAAAATTTAAATCACAAGGCTGCAGGTATAAAGATGAATAGGATTGGGATGTTCTGTATGAAATACACAAAAAAATTAATTTAAAAAAATCACAAGGCTAAACCAGTGATTTAGAAACATTTTAAATTGAATTCAGGAGTTTTATTTTAGTTATATTAATATGCAGGGCTTCTTAATGCAGCTATTTCTAAACCAGCTGTATCCCTATTGTCCCCATTTCAACACAAAAAATATTAAGCAGTCGGTGGGCTTCGTTTCCCTTCCTAATGCTAACGCACACTCTTTCCTTCTTAGATAACCAAAACACCAGAAAACAGCTAATATAAATGTTGTAAAGCTTTGACTCATCAAGCAACACCTTTTCAATTTCACTCTCTCCAGCAATTTGAGATTCCCCTTCCCAAGCTAGTTTAGGTTATGCTCTCTGACCGATGAGGGTAAATCCTATGAGAGCAAGTGGGGTCTGTAACTGCAGACATCTAGGGTGATTTTGTCATCAGAGTGGCCATGAGTTGACCTTGCTTTATGCTCCTTGTCAGCGGTGACCTTGCTGTGCCTTCCAAGGCGGGTGGTCTCCATGCTTGCCTCCCTGGTTGTCAGGTTCCGTACTACTTAATCCTCACATGCACTGGACCTGCAGTCTTCACACTCAGAATAGGTAGCTGACTTATTTCTGTCTATTGATTGCTTCATTGTATTTAAAATTCTTTTATTCTTTTTGTTTGGCAGGCTATAATTTGGGGGCATTTTAAGTGTTTAAGTATGTAAAAATAAAACCTATTTGAATTTTGCACGTCTCCATATCTTTCTGGTTTTCTGGTCATAGTTCTGAGTGACACTATTGTCATAACAGCTTTAACTTCTAGTTTTCTAGAACACAAAGAATGTTTATGTATTTTTAAAAGTTCTACAGAGCTTATAGACAGGGAACATATTTGGGTCACTCTGACTTATACACGGGGTGATGTGGTATCTTAGGTCTTTAGTTTGTACTAGAAACTGAACTGCCCAGTGGAAATATAGTGTGTGCTATGTAGGTAATTTTAAAGTTTCTAGTAGCCATAGTAAGTAAAAAAGCAAGTAAAATTAATTTCAGTAATGTTTTGTTTAAATATAATCCAATGTTATTTCCACACGTAATCAATATAAGAATTAATATATAGGCCATTTTCATGCTAAGTCATAGTTCCAAGTCCTCAATAACCACACGTGTGACCTTTATATTGAGCAATGCAGTCTGGTATCTTTGCAACTTAGTATTAGTAATATAATTGCTTTGCATCTAACTGTCTTATTTTAGGTACAGATTTCTCTAAGTGAATAAAATTCCAAGTGTCCTAAAATCCATACCCTTCCTTCTTTTCTCAAGGCCCTTCCTTCCTCCATGATTATCGTAGCAGTTTATTGTCCTGTGGTAGCTGCTGTTTTCATTGTTCTGAAGATGGTCAACTATCGACTACACAGAGCTCTTGATGCTGGAGAAGTTGTGGATAGGAATGCAAAGGAGTTCACAGATCAGCGAGCCAAAGCTGAACAAGGCAACTGCTCCACAAGGAGGAAAGACAGCAATGGTCCAAGGTAAGGAGACCTGTGTGCCTCAGCTCGTAGCCATGTGGAGTATGGTTTATGTATGGTGATAGACTTGCTGGCATGTCCCCGTCCTTTTCTTAGGTTTTAAGGCAGCATTAGTCTACCACTGTGGATACAATGACAAGTGCAGATTGTAGTATTAGAACAGAGGAAAGCTAGCTAGCGTGTTGGGAGGACAGAGTCAGTATTCTCAGCCTTATTACTAAACATCTTGGAACAATAATGCTACTGCATGATAGTTATACCAAAGACCAAAACTAAGGGACACAGCCTACAGAAATAGTTAAGCATGGCTTATAAATATCAGCATTAAAAAAAAGTAATACATATGGAAGCCAGACAAAGTGACTCTAATACTGGCACTCAGGAGGTTGAGGCAGGAGAGGCGGGTGTTGCAGGCCAACCTAGCCTTCATGGAGACATTGTCTTAGGAAAAGGAAAGGGGAAAAAAAAAGACACATACCTATATCTTAAGCTAATTTTATATTTTATTTGATGTATTTTTCACTGAATTTATTGTAAACATCTTTCAGTTTTATATTCCTACCTTAGAAACTTTGCTTAAGTGTACCTCTGTTGCACAGGTACATCATAGATGTCTCTGTGGCTCCGCCAACCTCTGTGAGAGAAGACTCTGATATTTGTTTGAACAGTCAAGTTTCTTGTGATCTTACAGAATTAATAGGTACCACTAATATAGATCTAAATAGACAGCTCCTGTGTGGATACATGTGCACACATTCAGCCCTCAAATCAATTCTGTGAGGTCAGTGCTGCCATCATCCCTGATTCACAGTTGGGGAACCACAGTGAGCGATCTCTAATAAGCCAAGCACTTAAGCTCTGATTTTAGCCACGAAGCTGTGTTTCCACTTGGTATGATATGAACTGTTGCAGGTTATAAGGCACAAACAGTACAATAAAAAGTGGTAACTCCTTTGTGAAGACACACATTTCTCTAGATTCTCCGGTTCATTGAAAGCCCTCATGTTTACCTTTTCCCTCACCCATTATGTAATTACCTCATTTGTTCATTGAACAAGTGTTTTATCCTTGTGAGAGCTTCATTCACTTTGGTAATCGCGACCTGAAATTATCTTCCTAATCACCTGTTTGCCATTGTCAGCTTTTTTAGTCAGGGATCTTGCTTTTCCTATAAAAGTTCTCAGCTCTTAAATCATTGTTGGCACTGATAGTTATTCAGTAAATATTGAAGTAGTAAAAAACTTTTTTATGATTCTGTTTTTAATGACATATAGATTCCATTGTGTAGAGATACCATAATGTAACTTATATTTTTAATTATTTTAATAAATTTTTTTGGGGGGGGGTCTTTTTGAGACAGAGTCTCCTGGTAGCCCCAGCTGGCCTGGAACTCATTATGTAGACCAGGCTGGCCTTGAACTCACAGAGATCTGGCTGCTGGGATTAAAGGCATGCGCCACCATGCCTGGCTATTTTTAGTTATTTTAATGCTTCAAGTTAAAATTTCATTGTCAGATTGATGAGGTACTCAAATTTTAAATCCCTAAATGTTTTATCATAATTTATCAGAAGTATAATTACTGAAAAACTATCTGTGCTTCTGTTTTCCAGTATATGCCACCAAATTCCAAAGATTTCAGCTATTTATACTGTGACCAGCAGTTGGAGAGCCATTCTCTCTCTCTCTCTCTCTCTCTCTCTCTCTCTCTCTCTCTCTCTCTCTCTCTCTCCCTCCCTCCCCCCCTCCCCCCCCCACCTTTCTCTCCCCAACAGAGGGTATTTCATATTTTGACAAAACTGCAGTAGTTCTCATTATTTAAATATTTGCCTTTAGATTACTAGTGAATATTTTTTAAAAACATTATTTTTGTTTTATGTGTATGTGTTATGCCTGCATGTAGTTAAGTGCACCTGTGTCATGCAATGCCCACAGAGGACAGAAGAGGCTGTCAGATCCCCTGGAACTGGAGTTACGGACAGTTGTTAGCTGCCATGTGGGTGCTGGGATTCGAACCCTGGTCTTCTGCAAGAACAGTCAGTGTTCTTAACTGCTGAACCATCTCTCCAGCCCCAACTACTAGTGAATATTTTCCTTGTTTTATTGCTACAAATAGCAATAAAACACAAATGTTTTTCACTCTGGTGTCTGTTTTGCTATTGGTGGTATTTTTGTTTTGTGAAGTAGAGCTGGGACTTAATAAAGGTTTTTTGTTTTTGTTTTTGTTTTTTTTTGGTCTTTTTGAATCTCCCTGTAGCCCTGGCTGTCCTGGAACTCACTATGTAGACCAGGCTGGCCTTGAACTCACAGAGACCTGCCTGTCTCTGCTTCCTGCTTGCTGGGATTAAAGGTGTGCACCACCAGGCCCGGCTTACTAAAGGTATTTTAAAATAGACTTTGAGTATGAGGGTTAAGAGAAAGAGAGGCAGGGACCAAGTGTGGTGACACATACCTTTAATCCCAGCACTTTGGAGGCAGAAGCAGGTAGATCTCTTTGGCAGCCTGGTCTACATAGTAAATTCCTGGCTAGATGGGGCTATAGGGAGACCCTGTCTCTAAATAAACAAACCAACAGTTAAAATGAATAAATGTAGTTACTTTAAAATTTTATTCTTTTTATTTTTATTTTATGTGTATATGTGTTGCCTACATGTATGTCAGTGCATTCGTGTATTGGAAGTCAGAACAGAGCATCAGATCCCCTGAAACTGGAAGGTTATGAGCCACTGTGTGGGTGCTGGGAACCAAACCTGGGTCCTCTGAAAGAACAACCAGTACTCTTAACCACTGAGCCATCTCTCTCCAGTCCCATCAATGTAGTTACTTTTAAAAATAGATAATTCTCTTGTAGATATAAGTATCTAAAGTCCTGGAAATGAACGTTTTGAAAATGTGTGATTTTAAGAGATTTTTCTATGAACTTTGACTAGCTGAAGAAACTCAAAGGGAAATAAAAATCTTCAATCCCATGACATATGTATAAAATCTCAAAAGATATGTTGAATAAATATTTAGGTATGTAATAGGCCTGTCTGGGGTGGGTGGAGGATGGAGAAATGAACTGGAAGGTTTGATGTGAGAATTTAGAGAGATTAAAAAAGAAAGGCCTTATTAGAATTTATTGATAACAGTGGTAACAATGTTCAAGTGAATTAGCAGAACTGTATTTATTATCTTATAGTTGATTGAAATGCCTATTATAATGATTTTTCACCCCACTAAAAAGCCAAAAAAGTAAATAGTAATTTGCCGTTCGGATGAATCTAAAATATGCTTGATTATGACTTTTGGTTGACCTTCCTGATTCCTAGTGAGTTTGAGTATTTTATCTTCTTTGTTGCCATTTAGCTTTCTTTCCATTGTCCCTATATGCCTGTCATTTAAGTGTTAAATTGTCTTTTGTATTAATAGAAATTTTATACTTATCTGTCTTAGGATATCTCTGAGTTCATCATCTTGCTTTCCTTAGATTTCTCAGAATTATTATGTTTTCATTGTTGTTTTAAAATATTTTATTTATTATTTTTGTTTTATGTATATGAGTGTTTTGCCTACAGAAATGTATACCATATGAGTACAGTACCCACAGAGGCCAGAAGAGGGCATCAGTCCTCCAGGAACTGATGTGGGTGCTGGGAACCAAATGCCAGTTCTCTGCAAGAGCAGCAAGTGGGGGCTGGAGAGATGCTCAGCAGTTAAGAGCACTGGCTGGTCTTGCAGAAGACCTGGTTTTAGCTCCCAGCACCCACACATCAACCAACAACCATCTATAACTCCAGTTTCAGGGGATCCAACGCCTCTTCTGGCCTCTGTGGGCTTTTCACAACATGAGTGCACTTACATACCTGCAGGCAAAACACTCATACACATAAAATAAAAACAAATAAATGCTAAAAACAAAAACAAAGCAGCACGTTTTTAACCCTTGAGCCATCTCTCCAGCCCATTTCTTTTTATTTTTGCATTTTAGTTTTATCTGAAATTAACTTCAGCTGTAACATCACCTAAAGGTTAGGCTTATTTTTTTCCTTATGAATGACTACTTTATCCAGTATTGTTAACAAACTGTCTTTTCCTCAGTAGCTGCAGTATTCTGTCATAAACTGAACTCTGTGGACTGGTATTCTTCTGACTCTCTTCTGTTTGGCTAATCTAGTTGTGCCTGTGCCTTGCCCTGTGCTCATCACAAAGCTTTCCCGAGTGACTCGATGTTAGGTGTGGCAAACTTGTTACCTTGTTCCTTCTCAGGAGCAACTTGGCTATTTTTAGGTCATTGTTCTTTGATACAGACTTTAGAGTCTACCAGGAGATGTCTGTAAGGACCTGGCCATTTTTTATTGGAATTGCTTTGAAAACACAAATTCCTCTGCTGAGTGTTTGTATCTCTACAGTATTGAACCGCACTCCGTCTATTTTCCTTCAGTAAAATTTTATCATTTTCTCCATTAAAAACATAAATTATTGTATAATTTTTCTTCTACTTAAAAAGTTTAATTTTTTTGTCTTTTTTGTATCTTGAACATAGCAGTTTTACTAAGGTATCCAAAAATATTAAACTTCTTCATTAATGATGAATTTTTGTGTTTTTTTTAATTTTATATGCATGACGTAGAAATAGAAGCCTGGATGACAGTTTTATTTCTACCTGTTTTAGTCTTTTTTCATTTTTTCTTTTTAAAGATTTATTTTTATGGGCTGGAGAGATGGCTCAGTGGTTAAGAGCACTGACTGTTCTTGAGGAAGACCCAGGTTTGAATCCCAGCACCCACATGGCATCTAACAACAATCTGTAACTCCAGTTCCAGAGGCTCTGTGTCCTCCATGACACAGGTGCACTTGTACACATGCGGGCAATACACTCATATACATAAAATAAAAATAGATTTAAAAAAAATTTAAACCAGAGTTACAGATGGTTGTTAGCTGCCATGTGGGTGCTGGAAACAGATCTCAGGTCCTTTGAAGAGGAGCTAGTGCTCCTAACTGCAGAGCCACCTCTCCAGCCCCAGTCTTTCTGCTTGTTTATTTTTTGTTGGTTATGACTTTTACTATCTGTTTAAATTGAAATAGTATTGGTATACATCCTCATCTTTTATCTAAAGAAAATGTTTTTAAACTTTACTGTTAAGATCTTTGTTTTAGGGGGGCTGGAGAGATGACTCAGACATTAAGAGCTCTGACTGCTCTTTCAGAGGACCCAGCAGGTTCGATTCCCAGCACCCACATGGCAGCTAACAACCTTCCGTTAACTCTAGTTCCAGGGGCTTCAGTCCCCTCTGCTGACCTCCTCAGGTATGGCATGACATGGGTGCACTTATGTATATGCAGGCAATACACACATATACATAACATAAAAATAATAATTAAAATATTTTTTAAAAAGACCTTTGCTTTAGGTTTTTGTATTTCATATCTCCTTTTCCTCACTCTCTCACTTGTGAATCTCACATTCTCTTCTGAGGGAAAAAAAATGAAAATGTATACTTTTCTATGTACTTGCTTGGCTTGTTACAGCTGTCATTTTATTGCATGAATGAATGAATGACTCCTTGAAACTTATGGTTTTTCATCGATATCTCTTTTGTGATATAGCAATTCAAAAATTATTAAATCTTTTATCTTAAAGACAGGTCAAAGTCTTTAATGTTTGCATTACATTTTTTAAGCTTTATGAGAGGAAGTTAATACATTGAATTTAAGGATTTGGATATAAATATTCTGGAGATAGACTGCATTTTCTGTTTCTCAGAGAGGTAATGCTTATAATATTATAAACCAAAGATCCATTTAAGCATTATAAAGTTGAATTGTAGGCTAAGGCTTCTGAAGGGAGATTTATTCTGCTTAGGGATGTTCTTTCTATCTATTCCTATTGTTTAGATTTTTTTTTGTTTTTGTTTGTGTTTTTTGTTTTTTGAGATAGGGTCTCCCTGTAGCCCCAGCTGGCCTGAAAGTTGATATATAGACCAGTCTGGCCTGGATCCCACAGAGATCTGCCTGCCTCTGCCTCCCAAGTGCTAGGATTAAAGGTATATACCACACACCTGGCTCCTTTTCCTATTTTTATGAGTATAATCTGGTTTACATTTGTAACTATTATAAGGGTGCTCCAAAATTTCTGACTAAAGCCTGCATGCGAGCAGTTAATATGGTACCAACAATTGACAGCTTGGTGACGCCTCTGTAATTCACATCAGGCCCCTTCTGCTCTATTACCTTTCCCTGTACCTGGCTTTGTTTTGTTTTTGTTTTTGTTTTTTAACAGATGAGGAAATTAAGGCATAAAGGTAGAGATTGCCTGAATTTGGTGTATTGCTTACTACAGTAAACCACTTTGCTTCTGTGAGAATGTAAACTGCTATACTTGACAGGTATGTGCTAAACTCTTCACCGTTAAAGCCCAGCAGGTCTCACTAATGAGAAAAGCTCATACTTAGCCATTCTGTGTACTAAGCTGTGTTTAGGCCATTTACAGACTGGCTAAAATGTCAACTTCTGAATTTGTAGAACAGAGCAAACAATAGGCATTTTATTGAGGATATTTAAAATAAAGGAGCTATTCTTTTTTTATTTCTTCATCACACATTCTTCATCTTGAAAACTCCTTTCTTACCCCTCTGTTGCCTATGGACCAGTATTAGTTCTAGATCATTGTTTCTCACCTGGGGATGATTTTGCCCCCTGGGCATCTAGCAATGCCTGTTTTCATAGCTGGGGGGATGCTGTTGGCATTTGGGGGCTTAGTGGCCAGGGATGCTGCTGACCATTCTGCAGTGCACAGGCTGGTCTTCTGCAGTCTTGAATTATGCATACCCAGTGTCACTAGGCCAGGGTGAAGAAACCCAGTTATAGGCAATGGTGATTGACAGTTTTAGATTAGAAAGAATTTGCAATGTGTGTTGTTGAAAGTCACTGTGGTTTCTTAGAAAGAGCATGACCTTTAAGGGTTTTATGGTTTTTTTGAGACAGGGTCTCCTGGTAGTCCCAGCTGGCCTGGAACTTGCTATGTAGACCAGGCTGGCCTCAGTCTCACAGAGATTCACTTGCCTTTGCCTCCTGAGTGCTAGGATTAAAGGAATGTACCACCATACCCTGCTTATGACTTTTAGGTTTTACAGACCTGACATTACATTGTTTTCTGTCTGTACTGAATATGAGCACCTGCATTCAGGTATGTGGGAAAATAAGAAAGGAACAGGTCAGTTAGCACATCGTAACACACTGTTTGCATCCTCCTCTACCATCTGACTTCCCTGTGTCAGTAGTTTAGCTTGTTCATTCCTCTGAGACCTTATACAAGTGTCTACCTACCTCTTCTAGTGTTTTGCTTTTTCATCTGTGAAATGAAGGTAGTAGCACTTACAGGTTTTAGGGAAGGTTTCATCAGAAAATCTAAACAAAATCAGACCAGACCTCATACTCCTAAGACTGGGAGACAAGTGCTTTGTAAATAGTTGATCATTTAGACTCTGATCACGTGAATCTGTTATCAGAATATGTGAAAGTGAGCAAGGTTGTTCTGTCTCTGACTAGATAAAATATAGTCTTACTGTGGAATATCATTTGGACATAAAAATCAGCAAGTTGTTGCATACTATAATGTGAATGACTCTTGAATACATTATGTTAAAGGAAAGAACCCAGTCACAAAAGATTATGTACTACACAATTTCATTGATATGAACGGTCCAGAAGGGGCAAATCTGTAGACACAGGAAGTAAGTCAGTGGTTGCCTAGTGGTGGGGGGAAGGGAAAGATGGAGAGGAATAACAGGTAAAAGAGTTTGGTTTTTGAGGTCATAAAAGTGTTCTAAAATTGACTGTGGTGAAGATTTCATAACTTTATGAATGTACACAAATGTTGAATTACATGGTTTAAATGGATGTGTTGTGGTATTTAAATTATATATCAATAAAGCTAGTGTATGAACACACACACACACACACACACACACACACACACACACAGAGCAAAGTGAGAGCTTACGATCCTTCCTGTTTACCCTGCATTTTTTGGTTCCTGTGGGTTTGCCTGAGAGGATGCATTCTAGCAACACTGGTAGTATTTCCCATTACTGACTCTGTGATGATAGCCACCTCATTATAGACTATGGAGGTTTGTCCAATTCAGAAACATTTCTCAATACCTGTATAGCTGGTGTGCGTTAATGCCAAACAGCTAAAAAACTAGAGTGCATTCCCCTTTCCTCACATAGGGTATTTGAATTGGCCTTGAACTTTGTAACCAGATTCTAGGATGCTTTGCTTTTATAAATGGATAGCAAATTAAATCTGGTGTTAAAATAGTGTTAGTACATGCTTTTAATCCCATCACTCAGAAAGTAGAGGCAGGTAGATCTTTCAAGGCCAGCCTGGTTTACATAGGGAATTCCAGACCAGCTGAGGTTACAGGGAGACTGTGTCTCCTGAAAACAAAATAATAAAATAACAAACAAACAAAAAAAAAAAAGGTGTTACCTCACTACAGTCAATGACCTAGAGTTAGCAAACTCATTAAGCAAACCAGGGACATTTTAGATGAGACTTTTAGTAATAGAAACAGGATAAATCAAACTATGGTGGTAAGTGCATCAACATTATCCAAAAGTCGTGAGAGTTTGGGATGAAGTGATTTGTTCCCCAGAAGAATTTGGGGTTGCTCTTTCAGTTAACCAGGCAGGTGGATGAGATACTATGTGGCAAGACAGTTGTGTTCTTTATAGTGTCCAAGCTTTCTACTAGAATGTTTATCCTGATAATGGTGAAGTGGAAAGAAGAAATAAGTTTAGATGAGGATAGGGTCAGGAGTTGTTTTAAGACTTGTGCTCCTGAGGAAACATGTAACATTTTCTAAGATTTTGAAATTTGGTATAGGTTTGGTTTTGGTTTTTGTTGTTGTTGTTTGTTTGCCTAATTCTGAGTTGCCATTATGTCTTAGTACCCCATATGGGTTTCACCAACTCTTGGCATGTAGCACGTGGTTTCCCTTTTGGCTTTCTAATACCTGTTGTTACTGAATAGCATCGCTTTACTTTTTAGCTTAGGAATTTTAGCACAATAAACACAAATCTAAACTCATAGGTTTCTAGTTCTTTAAAGTGATTAATATCCAAGCTGAGTTCTCTTTACATGCACAGATTCAGCTGCAGATAGTTCGCCAGGATGAGCCTGCTCCCCGTGCTTTTGTTGTGTCCCTCAGCTAGTCTGACGTATCTCGGAGATACCAGCTAATGTGCTATCTGATTGCTTTCTGTGCTTACAATTGGCTTCCTTCTCTTGCTCTTGGGAAACAAAAGTCAATAACTTCTCTGTAAGAGTGATTTATGGCATATATCCTAAATTATTTACTTTCTATAATTGTAATTAAGGCCAGTTTCTAGTCAAAATGTGGGTAGAAAGCTTGAGATAAGAGTTTTGAGTACTTTTACATAGTGGTGTGGTTATTAATTAATTCCAACTTTCACACTTTCAAATGGATCCTCATTCTTCACTTATTTTACTCTTTGAAAAATCAGAATCTTTTAGTTTTACAGAAAATAAGATACAACTTTAAAAATCACAAAGAAAGGAAAAGGAACTCATCAGTGGCAATAATGACTGTCTTGCTTTTTCTCATTTCCCACACAGCGATCCTGGTGGAGGGATTGAGATGTCGGAGTTCATTCGAGAGGCCACACCTCCAGTTGGTTGCAGTTCAAGAAATTCTTATGCTGGTCTGGATCCAAGTAACCAGGTAGGAAGCCATTCTGGATTCATCTCTTCCTGAGGTGGTGTTGGCCATGCTCCTGTTTATATGGTCAATTCATGGTTCTCTCTGACTATTGTTGTTGATTACTTCTGCCATCCTTACTAGTTCTAAACTAATGTTTCACATTAGTAAACATGCATTTGCTGAGTGTGTGCCATATACTTATTGCCTGTGCTGATAGTTTTCATCTCGGCGATTATAAATGCCTTAGGGGAATGTGGCTTCTAGCCTACTCCATCTTGTTTATCTTCCCGTCATCCACATTGGGAACACAGACCTGTCTGTAGTTGTCCTTGGTTTACACATGGTTTTAAAACAAATAATGTACCCAAATCTCACAATGTTAGGAGTGTTAAGGTAAAGCTACAAGTAGAATTGTGTTTCTGCTGTGTAACTTTTACTCTTCACTAGGACTCTGAAAGTGTTTTCTCAGACTTGGCTGTAGCCTGTTGAGTGTCTAACCTCAGCTGCTTCTATTTTCTCACCCCAAAGTGCAGTTCCAGTCCAGGTCCCAGTCAGTTATCCTGCTTGCCTTCTCGCAGATATTGCACTAGGGGAGCAAAGTAAACTTAGGGAGAAGCTTCTTACATAATTGTGGGGTTTAGTGGTCACTGCGTCAGTCCTTCCATTATGCAGAGGAAACAGCTGACTTCCATCAGTGTCTAGGCAAGCACTCACCTCCCAGATCTCCTTCCAGCATTCCCGGCACTGCATGCTCAGCCTATGGCTTGAACATGCTTTTCTCCCTCTCCCTTTATGTCCTAGGGTACTTAGTTCCTATTTTCTGTCCTGATTAACCCTTCTTGAAACCACCCCGAATTCTTCAGTATTTTCAGACCTTATGGTGTTGACTTTGCTCTTGCATACAGAATACTTAAATTTACTGTAACGGTTTCTGGTATGATGATATGTGGCCATTTATAAACCTCTACAGAGTAGATTTTCTTCTCTCCGCTGTGTAATATATTGCCTTTTGCACAGCTGACTTTCTATTAATATTGCTAATTATCTTTATGTGTATAGATAATAAAACTTTATAGGTGGAATTAAACTTGGCTTCTCATTTCACAAATGAGTAAGTAGCAAACCTCATTGTCTGGATGCTAACTCATAGCATTTACCTGTACTACATTGGTAGCTGTGTAGTAAGATCAGTGTTAGGAGAAAACACCACATTCTGTGACTCTTAAGTCCTGAATAGGGTCTTGCTTCCTAATATTTTTATTTTTATTTTTTTAATTTTATGTGTATGTGTGTATTGCCTGCATGTAGGTAAGTGTACCCATGTTGTGCAATGCCCATGGAGGACAGAAGAGGTTGTTGGATCCCCTGGAACTGGAGTTACTGACAGTTGTTAGCTGCCATGTGGATGCTGGGATTCGAACCCAGGTCTTCTGCAAGAACAGCCAGTGTTCTTAACCACTGAGCCATCTTTCCAGCCCCCCTAATATATTTTGATACATTTGCCTCCATTTGAATTGCATTTTCATGACTTAGTTGAAGTGAGTTTTTGGTAGCAGTTCTTGTTGTGATTGAGTGCAGTATAGAACAAATGGGATGTTAAATGTGTGTTCTTTCCATCTTCCATAGAATGGAAAATACTGTTGTCCAAAAATATCTAAGAAATGAATGCTGTGGCAAAGGGCTACACTTCCATGTTGATTTGAGATTTGATTGGTCCTTTTTTTTTTGTCTTTTTGAAGCAGGGTCTCTCTGCTGTAGCCCCAGCTGTCCTGGCACTCACTATGTAGACCAGGCTGGCCTTGAACTCACAGAGATCCGCCTGCCTCTGCCTCCCGAGTGCTGGGACTGCAGGTGTGCGCCACCACGCCCGACTTGATTGGTCCTTTTTAAAGTTTCAGGTTTCACAGTATTTAAGTGAAGCCTACTACCTTTGATCTTGATCTTTTGGTTGGCTTTGTGCTTTCCTCTGTCTCTAAAGAATGAAACAATCCTTAAACATGGCTCCCTGCTCTGTATTCCTGATTAACTCTGGTCTTGTTCCTGGCAAATGTAGGCGATGTCAGGTTATCCTGCGTGTCATCCTGTATTTTTCCACTAGTATTTTGGAGAGCCATCCTCTTAATTAAAAGGAAATGCAGACGCACAGGTGAAAGGCTATAGCAGTGTCCAGACGCCCTTGGCCTTGGTATCGTTTCTCTTGAACTGGCCCTACTTGTTTTAGGGAGTATAATGGGAACATGCGTGCATCTAAACCCACAGTATACCAGTTAGATTTTTCTTAAAATAGTCACTCTTACATTGAAAACACGAACTATTGGAAGCTACTTTTTCTTCATTCGTTTTAGTATTTTAGTTTTATACTGTTTATAATGTGTGATAGAGCTGACGTAATTATTTGTACATTTTAGAGAAACTAAAATTAAGAAGTAGATGGAGGGTGTTTGTGTGTTCGTGGGGATTTTCCCCCTACAGACACATATTTTCTTGTTCCTATTTTATTCTAAAGCACTTATACACACTGCCAACGTTGTTTCTGTAAATGTCTTCAGTGCCACGTGGAAATAGCAGCAGCACCCTTGCCCGTGTGACCATGCCTTCCCTTTTGCTACATCGAACTTGCTCCCTCCTGTCTTCCCTCTTTCTTTTGCCTTAATCTTTCCCCTTGGTTTGGTTTCTCTCCCTTACTTCTCTTTCTTTCCTTTACTTTCTTGTCTTTCTTCAACCATTTGAGTGCTTGTTAGTATTCAAGGTAAATACTTAGTCTGGGATGGGGACTGGGTCTTACCCTCAAAGAGATCATGACCAAGGTAACCACAGTTATAAATGTAATATGTTACCAGAGAATTAAATAGAAAATCCTTTCACAAAGTCATATGGCCATCAGAATGGTCTAGAAAGGGGCTGACTTCAGAGGAAGAATAATTCCAACTAGAGAGCAAGGCAAACCTTCATTGGGGAGGTGGCCTCGCCTGGCATCCATAATCTTTCCTGGATATTTGCTTTGGCACTTAGCACAGGGAGAAACAGTAGGACATTTTAATTTATATAAACCATTTAAGTAAAAAACTTCCAGGTATAGACAATACCACGTTTCCTTTTCGTCTTTACGAAATTCAGCAAATGAGGGTGAAAGAAGAAAATTTAAATCATTTATGATATCATACTTAATAAAAACTTGAAAAAAATAATAGAATCACAGTGCAAATCCTCATCTCTTTACTGGATGTGTCATAAATGTTAATGTCATGAGTGTTTTCCTACAGTGAGTCTTTGGGGAAAGCCTTGCATTTAGATGAAATGTACTATAGTTTATATTAACAATCCTTTGTTGTATCAACAGAAATAGTTATGATTCTTTGATTTTGGGGGGAGGGAATTTGATTAGTGGAGAAAGGCATGAAGAATCAGATATAACCACCATGGGAGCCATTAAAAGTGCTTTGGCCAACAGGTGATAGAATACTCAACTAAGAGCAATTAGAGAATTTGGGATTGACATCTGTGGTGTGAATCTGCAAGTTCTTGTGTGCCATTTGCTTAGCAGCTCCTCAATGCTGAGGAGGTGTGCTGGCCGGCATTTTCACAATTCTCTGGCTTGTTCCTGAGGGCCACAAAGTGAGCACAGCAACTCCAGTTGTGATGCTGGTGAAGAGTTAGGAAGCCGGCAGGGGGAAAGGTTCTCCTTCCTGCTCCTCCCACCCACAGAACCGTCTCTCCCAGAAGCCTTTCCCTTATATCCTCTGACCAGAATTATGTTCTGTAGCCCCCTCCAGACATGGCCTGGCTCCACTTCTTGTGGATCAAAAGATGTGGAACAACATCCGAACAAAGTGAGGCACTTGGCCAGGAGGGAGAAGGGGACCATTGGAGGGATGCAAGCTAATAACTAAAATTCATATTCAAAAAGATTTTGTTTGTAAGTGCAAGTTCCTAGAAAGATACACATATGCATGGTGTTTTTATTTGCTTGTTTTTAAAAATTCCGTCTAGAAAGTTATGTACTTGTAATTCTAGTAAACAATAATATTTTTCCCCTATAACTTGCCTAGCAGATTTAACAGGTATGTTAAAAATGGAACCTGCGGGTTGGAGAGATGGCTCAGCGTCTAGGAGAACACTGACTGCTCTTGCAGAGGACCCGGGTTTGATTCCCAGTACCCACATGGCAGCTATGAACCATCCTTAACTCCAGTTCCAGGGGAATCTGAAGCCCTCTTCTGACCTCCGTGGCACTGCACGACACGGGTGCATTCACATACATGCAGGCGATTCACTCATATACATAAAAAGAAAAATAATAAAATATTTTTTAAAAATGCAACTTGCAGTAAAAATTTTTTAACTTAATTATTTGTTTATGAGACAGATTCTCAGTATGTAGCTCAAGGTGGCCTCAAACTTGAAATCTTACTGCCTCAGCCTCCCAAGTGCTAGAATTTAGGAAATCCTGGGAGAATCAAGCTTAACAAATAGCCCCCAAATATTACAAAAGTCTGTGTGTGCGTTCATTTGTGCTTGGGTGTGGATGCATGTATTCAAGTGCATATGAGCACATGTATGTGGAGACCAGAGGTCAATGTTGGTGCCTTTCTTGGTCACTCTCCACCTTGCTTATATATAATCATTTGTATTTTATGTATATGAGTGTATTGCCTGCATGCAAGTGAGTGCACCCATGTCGTGCAGTGCCTTGGAGGTCAGAAGAGGGCTTCGGATTCCCCTGGAACTGGAGTTAAGGATGATTCACAGATGCCATGTGGGTGCTGGGAATCGAACCTGGGTCCTCTGCAAGAGCGGTCAGTGCTCTTAACCGCTAAGCCATCTCTTCAGCCCCTCCACCTTGCTTTTTGAGACAGTGTCTTTCACTGGACCTGAAGTTCACTGATTATCTGTGCTGGCTGGACAGTGCATTCTAGAAAACCACCTGTTTCTACCCATCCAGCACTGGGATTACAGAAGTCACCACCACACCCAGCTTTTACTTGGGTGCTGGGGATCCAAACTCAGGTCCTTATGCTTGCACAGTAAGCATTTTACTGATTGAGCGCTCTCAGCAGCCCTGGAAAGCTTTTCTTTTATTGGCTATATTGAGTTTATTAGTAGTTTCATTTGTGATAGTTTGCTTATTTTTATTTACTTTTTTGCTAACATATAACTACACCTCACAATAGGCATCTCTAGTGTAGAGCTCACCAAGGATCTACATTTGTCACACCTGTTTAACAGCCTTTCAGATTAAGAAAGCCCCTCCTCTTCCTCCTTCAGAGGCAGCTTTAACCTATATTCTGAGTTTATTTCTTGTGGTATACACCTAGTACACTGAATCAATGAAAGGGATAGGGTTTGGGTAAATTTTGTAAAGAATTATATGATGTAAGTTTTATTTTACAATGCTCAATATATGGAATAGTTTTCTTTGATTTCTTTGAAAACAGGTTTATTAGAAGAGCTTATTGATTTAGTTAACAATCATACTGTACTTTTTTTTTTTTTTTGTCTTTTTGAGACAGGGTCTCCCTGTAGCCCCAGCTGTCCTGGAACTCACCATGTAGACCAGGCTGGCCTTGAACTCACAGAGATCCTCCCGCCTCTGCCTCCCAAGTGCTGGAACTACAGGTGTGCACCACCATGCCCAGCAACAATCATACTGTATTTTACTTCCTTACTGAGGATAAGGAATTTGGAATATTTGATTTTTTTTGGTAATATAAATAATGGATGTGAAATTTTAGGAAGTATTAAGCCATCTTGAATGTAAACATTAAAAGTTCATCAATTACATTTAGTTTTCTAATTACGATTTGTGATAAGAATTCTCTTTTTGAGCTGGGCATGGTGGTACACGCCTTTAATCCCAGCACTCGGGAGGCAGAAGCAGGCAGATCTCTGTGAGTTCAAAGCCAGCCTGGTCTGCATAGTGAGTTCCAGGCCAGCTAGGGCTACAGGGAGACCCTGTCTCAAAAAGAAAAAAAAGAATTCACTTTTTTGTGATAGCTAGATTTTTGTTCTTTTTTTAAAGTTCTGACAAAAAAAGTTCTTGTCCTAGAACTAGGATAGTAAGATTTTTATGTTGCTGTCTGGCATATGCTAATATATTTTGTCTCCTCAAACTTTCTTTTTGTACCATAAGAAGTCTTCAGTTTATTTCTTGTGGACCCATGGCTTTGCTTTGGTCTATAACACGACCATGCCATGATGTAATATCAAAGATGGCAGCTGCATGGTGTAACTTGCTTGAGGTTGAAGGTGTTTGGCCCTGGGGGCTCCATCATTCCTGAGCAAACAGAGGGATTTGCATGCTCAGTACATCTGTGAGCATCTGCATGTGCAGTGAACAGGTTGTGTGGCTCTGGTAGAACATGCCCAACGAGTACCTATAAATATTGATAAAAGAGACTGATAGCGGGGCTGGAAAGATGGCTCAGCAGTTTAGAGCACTGACTGCTCTTGCAGAGGACCCGGGTTCGATACCCAGCACCCACATGGAGGCTGTGAACTGTCCTTAACTCCAGTTCCAAGGGAATCCGAAGCCCCTTCTGACCTCCACGGCATTGCACGACACGGGTGCACTCACATACGTGCAGGCAATACACTCATACACATACAATAAAAATAATAAATGAAATAAAGAGATTGATAGCATGTTGGATAATATGATTTTGATAGTCTTGGTAGTGTGATTGGTGATGGCATACCTAGTGTGCGCATTCACTCTCTTTCCTTTGTGTCATGTTTTCAGATTGGATCTGGCTCCTCTCGTCTTGGAACAGCAGCAACTACTAAAGGTAGACCCCCTAACTGAACATCACCCAATTCCCCATTTCCCTGTTGATTATAATAAACAGAACATTCCAAATGTAATGAAGGAATCATTCTTAAATACTCTCATAAATAAAATTATATTAAATTTGCCTGATTTAAATAATGTTACCTTTTCATCATCTAAATTTCACAAGTGTTTGAACATTTGCATTGTGTTGTTTCTAAGTTTGACCTATAAGAGACTTCTTTGCCATGAGGCAAGATACTTTCATAAGTTTGGATGAAAAAATTAATTTGATGTGAAATTTTGAAATGTGAGCATAGTTGAAACATTAAAAGGGCATTTTTTTTTTCTGTTTCTGTACATCTACTTAGGACAAGCTCATATTTTTTTTACTTATTTTCTCAGGGAAGGAAATTTCTCCTATTTCATGTTTGTTATAACAATTAGCATTTCTTTTTTAAATCTATTTTTAAAGAAACTAACTGACATCATGAAGCTTTCCATATTATTTGTATTATATGGTAATAGTTTTGAACTCTTATGGTCCATAATACTAATCCTAGCTCAGTATGCCTTCTGCATAGTAACTTTTTGGAGGGAGGTTTGGGGGGCGGGGATTGGTCTTTTTTGAGACACAGTCTCCCTGTAGCCACAGTCGGCCTGGAACTTGCTATGAAGACCAGACTGGGCTCAATCTCACAGAGATCCGCCCACCTCTGCCTCTCAAGAAGGGGGTGGTGGATATTAAAGGTATGGGTCACCACACCCGATCTGCACAGTAACTCTTGATATGTAGACACTCCTATAGTTGATAGATAGCTACCACACTGTGTCCTTTCTTGGTTGAGCTTTTAATATAATGACCTTACCTATTTCTCTTAACTTTGTAGGAGATACAGACACTGCTAAAACTTCTGATGATATAAGTTTAAGTCTGGGCCAGAGCTCTAGTCTTTGTAAAGAAGGAAGTGAAGAACAAGGTGAGAACATTACGCTTTACAGTGACATCATACATTGTATCAGTTGCTTTACAGTGACATCATATATTGATCATATGACTGATAAAAATGTATTTACTTGGGGCTGGAGAGGTGGCTCAGTGGTTAAGAGCACTGACTGCTCTTGTGGAAGACCTAGGTTTGAATCCCAGCGCCTACATGGCAGCTATAAACCGTCCTTAACTCTAGTTCCAGGGGAATCCAAAGCCCTCTTCTGACCTCTGTGGCATTGCATGACACAGGTGCACTCACATACATGCAGACAATACACTCATACACATAAAATAAAAATAATAAAATTTTTTTAATGTATTTATGTTTATTTCATTAATTAGGATTTTTGAGACAAGAATCTTGCTCTATAACCCTGCCTGGCCTTTAACTCATTCTGTAGCCAGGCTGGCCTTGAAATCTTGGGCAACCCTCCTGCCTCAGTTCCTTAAGTGCTGAGATTATAGGCATGAGCTATCATGTCTGGCTTTAATAATGGTTATTTTTGTGAAATGTTAATAATTAGGATAATAGTAATATAGTATTTTAGGTGCTTTTACCTGATTGAATTCAGTAAGACATATTCTACCAAATAAACAGAGAAAGAAATTTTATGAACCTGTGCCCCAGTATAAGTGTGAGATGAGGGATGAGGATCTGCTGCCCCTTTACTGCCCATCAACCCGATATTTCACCAACTCCGTTTCTTTTTAAAATATTTTACTATTACTTTTATTATATTTTATGTGTATGAATGAATTGCCTGCATGTATGTAAGTGCACTTAGGAATCATATTTCATTATTTTATTATCCAGAAAGTATCAAGCAAAGGTTTTTGTTTTTTTTTAAAATAATCTAGCAGGTTGAGATTTGTATGCACACATCACACATCTCTACTATTGTAACCAGCTACAGATGCAGAAAATGGTGTCTGGCATTCACTTAGTACATCGTCTGGGCTACGTTCGCACTCTTATTTTGCAGAGGGCCAGGTTACTTTGTGCATCATATGGCCTCTTGCTAACCAGCTCTGTGGTTGTAGAACAAAAGGATCCCTAGACTAGTCATAAGTGAGTGGGCACACTGTACCGCACTAAAACATCCTTTAAGGACATGACCAGACTTTGTTCCATGGTCTTTAGTTTTTCGACCCCTGGTGTTGATCCTTGTCTCAGCTCTTTATGTGCTCTCTCCATTAATCTTGGCTTGAGACATCTGAAGTTGACACCATTATTATTCTTACTGTACAGATGCATATTTTATGACTTAGAAGCTAAAAGAAACTTACCCAAAATCTCACTGATAAATTGAAATTACCACACTATTTTCAAATAGTTTTTAAATTTTATTTTTATTGGTGTGTGTGCGCACGCACATTGAGAAGATACTAATAAGAGGCTATGTTGAAGGATTTTCATATATCGTGTAAGAATTTATTGTAGTCCTGGGTGACTCTGGGGTTGGACAGGCTAAGGAGCATTCCAGAGTCAAGGGTAGGAGAGCATGGAAGGTAGGGTGGAGAGTTCAGTTGGGGGCTATCTAGTTATTTAGTATGTGATTCTTTATGACCTCTAAGCCATGTGGAGAGAGAGATCAGGTGAGAGGTTTGGGGCAGGGATTATATTTAGGAGTTGTTAGTGTATAAATACTAACCAGTCAACAGGCCAAACATGAGGTTGGAGCTGGGCATGGTGGCATATTCCTATAATTCCAGTATGTGCGAGATTAAGACAGGAGGATTACCATGAGTTGAAGGCCAGCCTCCACTATAGAGACCCTGGCTTTGAAAACAAAAGGCAAAGCAAAACAAAAAGATAACAAATCACTCTGGAGTCTTATAAGTTGGTAAGCTAACAGACAACTCTGCAAAGTTAGCTGGCTTGGGGTTTAGAAGGCCAGGCTCCCTTACCCAAATCCTTGGTCCCGGCTGTGGTTTGGCACCACCTAGTGGCAATTATTTAAACTGGATTTGTGGGACAGTGCTTAACTGGCCAGCATTAGGTTGGTAAATTGATAATCATTTCATCTTATGATTCCAGATTCTAGGGAGAGACAAGAATGTGGGAACGGATCCTGTATTTGTTCACTTTAAGAAGGACTATTGCCTGTCCCCTGCCTAGTCTCACTCATGTCTTCCCTGACCAAGCTCAGAAATATAGACCTAGACCGTCCTTGTGGGCATGCAGCCTGACGGAAAATGGAGAAACCAGCTCTAGATATTTCTGAATGTTTATTGTGGTGCCAGAAAACTGGAAGAGATCTACAGAAGAAGAAGAGCAGATAGGAAACAGATCTAAGCCTGAGCCCCAAGCAGATCTAGTTGAATGAAGTTTGGGAGACTGAGAAGGAACAACTGGCTCTTGAAGGGTCCCAGCCTGTCAAGGAGAGGGGGTGACCGACTTCGAGCAGTACTCCTGACAGGTCAAGGGACTATTGTGTTAACAGTATGGAATTGGTGACCTTGAAAAGTAACTTTAATGGAGTGGGATTAATCCGTACATGTGTAAACTGGGAATGTGGCTCAGTGGTAGAGTGTTTGCCTAGCGTATGAGTATTTAAAGTTATTAGTTCAGTCTCTAGCATCAAAAAACAAATAGACAAAAAATCAAAAATTACCTGGTTAAAAGAATTTGAGGAAGAAAAAAACCAGTAACTAGTAAACTCTTTTCAGTGAATTTTTATAAAAGACAAAAGACCTAAGGTAATAGCTAGGAGAGGAAGAAAGGATAAGAGGTAGATTTGTATATTTGAAGAGAAATAATGGCATGTTTGTGTAATTGATAAAGTTAATGCAAAAGAGAAAAGGAAAACATACTTTTTGTTTATAAATGGAATAAATGTTAACTACAGAGATTATAGATCAGTATGAAAAAGAAAGTAATTCGTGCTTCTGCCACTGAGAAATTCTGTTATTTTTTTGGTGTGTAACTTTGTGTCCTGTTATTTTTCATTATGACATGATTTTCATACCATAAAATTCACCCTTCTAGTTTAGTGCTTTTTGGTGTATACATGAGTTTATATTCCTGTCACCAGAACATTGTCGTCATCGAAAAAGGAACCTGCCCCTACTACCCTCCCATCTGCTCCATCAGCCTGACAGCTGCTCGTCTGTTCTGTCTCTGCAAGTCTGTCTGTTGGAGTGTTTTGTATAAATGGAATTCTATTATGTGTAGCTTTTTGTGTCTGGCTTCACTCATTTACCATGTTACAGTGTGCATCAGGACTTCCTTCTTGTAGCTAAACACAGAATCAGTTTCAGCATCACAGAAACATACTCAGTATACCCTTTGCAATCTTTTCATCTTGTAAAACTGGAGTCATGCTTTTTGTGTGGTGTAACTTTCCGTAATGCTCTAAAATGAACAGCTTGTCATAAGACCTTATACACATATTTGATTATCCTTTAGCAGCAATTTCTAGAAGTAAATTACTAATCATCAGAGGGTAAGAAGACTTTTCAGGGCTTAGGGGTTGGGGAGATGGTAAAGTACTTGCTAGGAAAGTAAGAGAACCTGAGTTCAACCCCAGCACTGAAGTTTTTTTTTTTTTTTTTAAAGACAAGCCAGATGTGGCACTGTATACACTTGTGATCCCAGTTTTGGGGAAATAGAGACAGGAGGACCACTGGGCTTGCTGTCAGCCAGCCTAGCAAATCAGTGAGCTTCAGGTTCAGTGAGAGACCATTTTCAAAAAATAGGTGAAGTGTAGTTGAGGAAGGCACTTGAATGTCAGCCTCTGGCCTACACATGTGTTTGCATACACATGTCCAAGTTTTTGAAGAGAGTTGGTTTTAGTCATTAGCATTTTAAAGTCGTGAATTATATATTAGATTTAGTGATTTTTCAACTTCTTAGAATTGTTAAATTATTACATTTATTATTGTGTGTGTGTCTGTCTGTCTGTCTGTCTGTCTTGTCTGTGCGCATGCCACAGAGCACATGTGGAGGGTCGGAGAACAACTTTGCAGACTTGGTTCCCTTTTTCCACACTTACATGGCTTCTGAGGATTAAATTCAGCCCACCAGGCTTGCATGGCAAACACCTTTACCCAGTGAGCCATCTCACTAGTACTGGATTTTGATATTTGAAATTATACAGACAGGTTTAATAACATCATCTTATTGTAATCCTAGGGAGGAATGTTTGCCTTTATCGAGCGTTGACTGAGAGGAACCTGACTTACTGTAGTTATTTAGTTTACCTATACAGTTATGACAATTAAAAAAATATTTTTTCTTTTTGTTGTTTTTGTATTTGGCCTTAAACTCTTGATCCTCCTACCTCAGTCTCCTAAGTGCTAAGATTGCAGACATATGCCACTATACCCAGATTTCTTTTTATTAAACTAACAGCAGGTTTGAGTATCCTTATGTGAAGAATCAGCTTTTATGTAGGTGGGTAGATTTTTTTTTTTGCCTTAATTCTATTTTTGTAGTACAAATGATCATTTAAGTCAGAAGTTACTACCTTAAATGGAAGATTAAAGAAATGGTCCTATTATATACAAAGAAGTATTTTTCAATAGGAGTGATGAAAGAAAATGCAGCATTTTACTCTGTAATTATTACTTGTTGATGTTTTAGCTCATTTTTATTGAGGGTATAGAACAGGTACATGGTTTTAATGCTTTCAGTCTTTCATACGTGCCTGCAGTGCATTTTGATCATCTTCACCCCCACTCCTCCCCCAGCTCCTCCCCAACTCCTCCCAGATCCACCCCAGCCCTTCAACCTCCAACTTCAAGTCCTCTTTTTTTTTTTTTTTAACCTGAGTCTAGTCATGCTGCCTATAGGCATACTTGTGTGGGGCTCCCACTAGAGTGTGAATGACTTACCAGGGCCATACCCTTAAAGATAACTGACTCTTTCTCCCCAAGAAGCCATCACTTCTCAGTAGCTCCTCATCTAGGGGTAGGGGTTTATCAACCCTTTCATTGTTACCTTTTTTCTAATTTTTTAAAAAAATTTATTTTTTTAAATTTTATGTGTATGCATGTATTGCCTGCATGTAGGTAAGGGCACCCGTGTCATGCAGTGCCCGTGGAGGTCAGAAGAGGCTGTCGGATCCCCTGGGACTGGAGTTACAGACAGTTGTTAGCTGCCATGTGGGTGCTGGGATTTGGACCCGGGTCTTCTGTAAGAACAACCAGTGTTCTTAACTGCTGAGCCATCTCTCCAGCCCCATTGTAATTTTCTTAAACCGTTATGAACAGTGAGGTATCTTGTATCATTATGTTGTATTTGTTTAAGCATTGGTCAGCCTTTTGATCTTTGCTTATTTGTTTATGATTACTGGGGGGTTTAATTTTTTATTTTTAATTGAATTTTTACAAATTTCATACAATATATTTTGATTATATTTGGATCCTCTCCCATATCTGCACCCCCTCCTTACTAACCCCTGCCTAATTTCATGTAAGGTATATATATATATATTCCCCCCCCCAGGCCTATAGAGTCAAATTTGTGTCACTAAATGGCCTTTGGAATGGTTTATTTTTGTGTCTGTCTGGAGTGTATCCTATGGTGTATATGGATGGAGGTCAGAGGACAACTTGGCAGAGTAGTTCTCTCCTGTCTTTATATGGGTTCCAGGAATGAGACTCAGATCTCCAGGCTTGTGTGGCAAGAACTTTACCTGCTGAGTGATTGTGTAGGCTCTGCTCTAGGTTTTTGTTGACTTGTGAAATAATCCTGTCAATTTTTCAAAAGGATTTAAGTATTTTGTTAGGTATAGTAATAATTGTTACTATTAATTTTGATAGCATTATGCCAAGTTTATGTGTATCATAGTCCTTGCCTGCTGAGGTTGACAGCACATCTTATAGATGAAGAAACAGAGGGTCAGAAGGTAACCAAAGGTTAGAAATAGAGCTTGTGACAGGGTGCAGTTCTGTACACCTACAATTCTAGACTCGGGACACTGAGGCAAGAGGATCTCAAGTTCAAGACCAGCGTTGAACAGTGAGACCCTGTTCCAGAAGGGAGAGAGGAAGGAGGGGATGTGGAGAGGGGGTAGGGGCAGACACTGTTAACAGACTAGAACTTTTTCTGAAGCCACTTAAAGAACTCAAAAGCTTTGATAGTTTAGTTCATTCCATCTCTAGAATGCTTTCTTTGTGCAGTTTGAAATAGAAACCAGTTCATTGGGATGGCTGGCCAACTGTTGTTCAGTGAACTGCTTGAGAAATTGCTTATTCCTGATTTACTCTGTGCTGTGAAGTCTTTGTTGAACAGTAGGAAAGGAGCTCATGATATGTATTAACATTTTCAAATATGTTTGAAACAGATTTGGCAACAGATCGGAAGCTCTTCCGTTTGGTCTCCAATGACTCCTTCATCTCTATTCAGCCTTCCTTGTCCTCCTGCGGACAGGACTTACCAAGGGACTTCAGTGACAAAGGGAGCCTGCCAAGCCATAGCCACCACCACCACGTGGACCAGTCTCTGTCCAGTGCCTGTGACACAGAAGTAGCTTCTCTTGTACCTTTACATTCACACTCTTACAGGAAAGATCACCGGCCACGAGGTGTGCCTCGGACTTCCAGCTCTGCTGTGGCTTTTCCCGACACATCACTAAATGACTTCCCTCTTTATCAGCAGAGACGAGGGTTAGATCCCGTTAGTGAGTTGGAGTCTTCTAAGCCGCACTCCGGATCCAAAGAATCCCTAGTGGAAAAGTCTTGTTTACCTGGAGAGTTTCAGCTTGCCAGTGACCTGAAAAAAAGCAATTCTCAGCCACCCATAAAAAGTGGGAAGAGCCGAGCCCTGGATGCCGACAAAAGCATGGACAGCCTGCGGAGCCTGAGCACCCGGAGCAGCGGCTCCACGGAGAGCTACTGCAGCGGCACGGACCGCGACACCAACAGCACGGTCAGCAGCTTCAGGAGTGAGCAGACCAGCTCCACTCACATCGAGAGCCTGCTGTCGGAGCACGAGGAGTCGCCCCACGCGGGGAGGAGGCGTCCCCAGAAGGGCGAGGGCGGGCCGGATCCGGAGGAGAGGAGCAGCGGTGCCAGTGGCCGAAGGATGAGCGGGGACAAGGCTGCCCCCGAGGCAGGCGAGGCCCGGGCCCCCGGGGAGGAGGCAGACCAGCGAGCCCCAGGCAGCTCTGCGTCGGAGGATGCCAACCGGAACCCACACGCCAACCAGTTCACTGCGCCCGAGGACACGCCTGAGAAGGCTGCCCCGGGCATCGACGCTGAGGCTAGAGATGCCCAGGAAAACCATGCTCCGGCCACAGACGCCTCGGGCAGCCTTGCCCCGGCCACAGACGCCCCGAGCAGTCATGCCCGAGCCAAAGACGCCCCGGCTGAGGCCAAGGCGTTTGGGGACACGGGAGGTGGGCCGAGGGACGGGGACGTGCGCCCCAAGTCCTCCAGCCTGGTCCACCGCACAACCTCCGCACACAAGTCGGGCAGGCGGCGGACGGGCAAGAAGCGGGCTAGCAGTTTTGATTCCAGTCGGCACCGGGACTACGTGTCCTTCCGGGGCGTCTCCGGAGCCAAGCCACACAGCGCCGTGTTTTGTCCCGACGAGGACTCGAGTGATCAGAGCGACCTGAGTCGCGCGTCCAGCGTCCATTCTGCCCACCAGTTCAGCAGCGACAGCTCCTCCAGCACCACCTCGCACGCCTGCCGTTCCCCCGAGGGCAGGTACAGCGTGCTCAAGACCAAACACGCGCACCGGGAGAGGGGCGCAGACCCCGACCACACGCACAAAGCTCACTCGGGGCCCGAGGGTGCCGGCAAGCGGCGGGCCACGCGCAGGACCTCCAGCGCTCACGGTGCCAAGACGCGCGCGCGGGTGCTGAGCCTGGACAGCAGCACGGTGGCCTGCTTGAACGACTCCCACCGGCTCCTGGCGCCCGAAAGCGCAAAGCCCCTAACCACTTCCAAGTCTGATCTCGAGGCCAAAGACGGAGAGGTGCTAGATGAGCTGTCTTTGCTGGGACGGGCTTCCCAGCTGGAGACAGTCACTAGATCCAGGAATAGTTTGCCAAGCCAAGTTGAATTTCCTGAAGGGGAAGAGCAAGATGTGGCCGGTGGAGGTAAGTAGGCTCAGGGAGAAACTTCGGGATTGCCACTGCCGATTTAGTTAGTACTGTTGGTGAGACAGTCTTATAGTCTTGGGAAAATGTGCTCTCTATTAAACATTTCCCCTTCATTGTGTTGTTAAAGCAAGTTTTCTTCAACAAAGAAGATGGTGGTGTTAGAAAAGGCTTTGGTGTGAAGACCAGGAACATATTTGTTCAACTGTCTTATCGAATATATCAATTTATTCTTGTTGGTCTCCACTTTTCTAGGCCAGTTTTGCCAGTAGTTACTAAAATTAGTCCCCTTCCTTTGTACAGTAGCAACAATACTACAGTTATTTTAGGATACTAAACCACTTACAGTCATCTCTTATGCAGTGTGTGCTACTGAACTTCCAGAATGAGGTCACTCAACCTGTGAGATAATACTTTTCCAAACAGAACTTTAGCTCTGGTCATGTACTTTGAAAGCCATCTCTTTTTCTGTTTATTTCTATGATTTTCTTTCTTAATTCAAGTTACAGATAACTAAGAAAAAAATTATTTTTTCTATAATTTCACACTGTTCTTAAAGGTCATTGTTGAAGTTTGTAGTGTATATTAGCATATTTATTTATCTTATTTATTTATCTTTTTTGAGACAGAGTCTCACTATGCAGCCCTAGCTGACTGGGAACTCACTGTGTAGACAAGGCTGATCTCAAACCCACAGAGATCTATCCCCCCCGTCTGCTTCCTGAGAGCTGGGATTTAAGGCATGTGCCACCACACCAAGCTATACATGGACATTTTTAGTCCATTAATAGATGCGTGATGCCCCCTATAATAGTGATGGTGTTTGGCTAAAGTAATTGCTTATTAATTTCATGATTTGGGGCAATGTACAAAATGGAATAGATGTTATATTCTGTCAGAGATGGTGTTTTCCACTATTTCCTGCTACCCAGATAGTTTGTTTACTGTTGTGGTTGTTATGAAATCTGCTTCTATATAGAATGAGAAGAATTGTGTTGTCAAATGTCTGGCCTCTACCTCAACTTTTTGTTTATGCTTATGACTTTGAAGCTTAAGTGACTGGTTTCTGTAATAGGAATATTCAGTCTCTTATTAAAAGCTAAGATAAATTTTCTGTTTGTACAGATGTTTCCAAACATACAACTTTTTATCTCCAAGAATTTTAAATTTATCCAGAATATTTTCAAAGGTCATATTGTAGTAAATGTTCTGTTTTTATTTTCCTTTCTGTTTTGAAGTAACAAAGATTAACTTATAATGAGAATGTAAAGAAATGATCTTTAGTGCCAAATGAGCCATCAAACTGATCTTTCAACCCTAAACATTGTGAATGAATGGTATCCAGGACGCTGTTACCACTTGGTAACAGTGTAGTAATTACATTTCCTGGAGTCTTTGACCTGGGTACCATGCTTTTTTTCATAAAGGTCTGGAATATTGTAGTGATTGATTTTTCATAGAAACCTCATATATATGTTCATAATGTTCAAAAATAGACTTTAAAATAGAGCTTAATTCTTAAAGTTATCAAGATAAATTTTAAGAGTGAACATGCTATGTAATGTTCTAAATATCATTGAAATAAGATTGTTAAAATGTAAATGTTGCCGGGCGTGGCAGAGGCAGGCGGATCTCTGTGAGTTCAAGGCCAGCCGGTCTACATAGTGAGTTCCAGGACAGCTGGGGCTACAAGGAGACCCTATCTCAATAAAGACAGAAAAAAATGTAAATGTTGATAAAATATGTGCAAGACCTATAGTACATCTGCATCTTCAGATTTCCTTTCCATAGAGAATAAGGGTGTCCTTTTTTTTTTTTAGAAAACTACATGGAAAATGTTATTTGCTTCATTGTGCAGTTCTATGACCATATAAGTGCTCCTTTGGGGGATTTTTGTTTGTTGGGGGGTTTTGTTTGTTTTTTAAATCTACTAAAGTTGGGGGGGTTTGTTTGTTTTTTAAATCTACTAAATGTTAATAATTAAATAATATGTTAATATTTTTACCTCAACTTTAGTGGAATAAATTTAGTAATATGTGGGAAGCTGATGATAACTTTTTTCCAGAGGAAAATATTGAAGGAACTGTTTTTATTTGAATTTTATTGTGTTTAGAGTAAAAATGAGAACAAAAAAATTTTACTTAAATGTGTTGGAGATTTATGTTGTTTTCTTTACAGCTAAATACAAGAGTTTGCTTAGGGTTTATTTGAATTTCCAGAAGACTGGAAGTAGCAAAAAGGGGTTTAAAAATTCTTAAATAAAATTTACAGAATTTCAAGTGCTGTTACATATCACATAAGCATTATTCATTACAGCCCTGTCTGCAGTTTAGGAGGGATGTTCTGGGGCTGTCTGTTCTGCCTTATCTGTTCTATTCCTGAAACATGAAACACACATTACTACTGCTCATACATTACTTGACTTGACATAAAACCATGTAAATTTTTATCCCAGTAAATATGGAGGTATGGATGAGTCTTTCAGAAGCTTTATTATCAAAACGAATAGTGTTGGTAGTGTGAAGGGGTGGAACGCAGAAAATGTACTTTAAAGTAGTAAAATAAAATGCCCTAGAATGGAGGTAATTCACTTTAGTGGTAAAGAATCATTATGCCTCTGTTTGTATACCAGCCACACTGTAGTTGCTCTCAGAAACCTGCTTATTCTCTTCATGAAGCCTCAGCTCCATCATCTTAGAATGAGATGATAGTGATACCAGTTCATAGCATACTTGTAAAGATGATGCAGATTGCACACACATAAGATGCTTAGAACATGCTTAACATGAGATAAGTGTTTAGTAGTGCTGCTATTGTGAAACAGGCCATTTTGTTATACTACGGAAACATATTTATCCCTGTTAATTCAGTGATACAGGATTAAAGTAGAAGAAAATAGTTACATGTAGGAGTAGGTTAGAGATCTTTAATTGTGTGTGTGAAACTTGACAGCAGTGAAACTGCGAAGAATATCTGAATTTCTAATTTCTTACATAATACTAATAGTCAAATGTTTTTAATGTCTAATCTATTAACCTGGGATTTCTCTTGGTTTGATAATAATATGCCATATAGCTAACTTATGTTATTCAGTCCTATATTCTCTTTCTCTCTCTTTCTCTCTCTCTCTCTCTCTCTCTCTCTCTCTCTCTCTCTCTCTCTCATACAGAACAGATTTTATCATCCCTTTACAGGGCTTCCTGAATCCAGAGAGCACATTCCTTGCTCTTGTAGGTCTGGCTCTGGTTCTTATTTCTAAACTTTAAACTCCTTTGAGGAACTCTTATTCATTAGTCAAGTACTTTGATCAAAATAAAATGATACCAATAATTGTTTATTTAGGAGAAATTTAAAACATTTTATTATTTAAATTTTTGAGTTATTTATTTTTGTTTTATGTGGATAAGTGTTTGCTGGCATGTATATATGTGCACCACATATGTGCCTGGTGCCCACAGAGGCCAGAAGGTGTTGAATCCCCTGGAACTGGAGTTACAGACAGTTGTGAGCTGCCATGTGCATGCTTGGAACCAAACTCAGGTCCTCTGGGAGAACAGTAGGCACTCTTAACTGCTGAGCCATTTCTCCAGCCCCTTAATATTATCTTTTATTGAGTGCATCTGTGTGTGTGAGTGTGTGCATGTGCCTGCAGAGGCCAAAAGAGGGCATCAAATCCCCCAGAGCTGGAGTTGTGCAAGGTGGTTATGAGTCACCAGATGTGGGTGCTGGCAACAGAACTTGGGTTGTCTGGAAGAGCAGCAAGCACTCCTAACTGCTGAGCCATCTTTTTATATCAATTGTCAGATTGTAAAGAATAGCCGAAGTGGAGAGGTTTGTGTTTATTTATGATCATTTGTGCAGTTTTCTGCATTTCTTAACCTGTATTTCTTGGAGAAAATTATTTACATTTTAAATTTTTTGTTACTTTTATGTATGTGAGTGTTTTGCTGTGTGTGTGCAAGTGCACCTTTGTCATTGCAGTGCATACAATTTAATTTTTCCTAGAGTGCTAATGTTTTATTATTTACATTTGATATACTTAAAATTGGACTAGTTAATTTCCTCCTTTGCTGGAAGATAACAGGTTTTATACAAGGCTAAAATGAAAACTTCAAAAGTTCCTGGAATAGTCTCTCCCTCCTCTCTGGTATTTTAGAGTTTCCTTTTTTTAAGGCAGGGTCTCACTAGGTACCTCTGGCTGGCCTGGAACTTGCTCCAGACCAGACTGGCCTTGAATTCACAGTTCCATCTGCCTCTGCCTCCAGAGTGCTGGGATTAAAGACTTGTGCTACCACATAGAGTCTCATGTCCTAATGTAGACAAAAAGAGAAAAAATGAAGAAATTATTTTCTTTCTGAGGCCAGGGATTCAATTTCCCAGAGGGGACCCCCATTGTTTTTTTTAAGTGTTCCTTTTCTTATATACTTAAATGATTCACAAAGGGCTGGGAAGATGGCTCACTAGGTAAAGGGTTTGCATGCAAGCCTGAGGACCCGAGTTCGGATCCCTACCACCTATGTAAAAGCAGGGTTTGGTGTAGTGCATCCATAACACCAGTGCTGAGGATGTGAAGACAGGTGGATTCTGAGGGTTTACTGGCTAGCCAGTCGAGCTTAATCTGTGAGCTCCAGGTTCAGTAAGAAATCCTGTCTCAAAAAGTAAGGTAGAGAGCAATAAAGGAAGACTGAACACCAACTTCTTAACCTTGTGATTCTCTTGCCTCCACACATGCACACATGAGTAAGTCATTCCCCCTAGAGGTGCATACCCTGCTCCCGTACACAGAGTTCATTACAGTTGTCTTGGGGAACTTGCCTTATGTGTGATTAGAGCTCATATATCCATGTGCTTACAAGAAATTATTTTAAACTTTAGAGATACCCTTTTCTCCTTTTGGCTCCCATACACCTGGACCTGTATAGGCCAGTTTCAATATGGATGTTCTATTTAGGAAGCACATTTCTGGGGCTGGAGACATGGCTCAGGGGTTAAGAGCACTGGCTGCTCTTGCAAAGAACCTGGGTTCAGTTTCCAGTACTCATAGGGTGACTAACAACTGTCTGTAACTCCAATTCCAGGGGTTCTGACACCCTCCTTTGGCTTCAGTGGGCTTTGCACACACAGGTGCACTTGGATACACACAGGCAAAACACTCAGACACATAAAATAAATCAAGTAATTTTTTTTTAAAAAAAAGCATATTCCTCAGAGGGCTTAGTCTTATTTACTGTAATCATAAATTATAGCATGGCATTTTCAGTTGAATGTTCCTAGATTTTGTTACAACAGTTACCATGGGGAACATTTTGAAAATTCTTATAACAATAGGTTTTTATATCTCTCTTAACAAAAGATAATATGTAGTAAGAATAACTCTAATAGTATGTTCAATGGAGGCCTAATCTTTCATCTTCATATGTTTTCAAGACTACTAAGGAGGGACTGTAGAGATGCCTCAGTGGTTAAGAGCAGATACTGCTCTTGCAAAGAATCAGAGTTGGGTTCCCAGCACCTACACTGGGTGGTTCACAACCTCCTGAAACTCTACTTTCCCAGGATCTGATGTTTTCTTCTGGCCTCTCAGGCAGCTGCAGTCCCCTACACAGACACACACATATACATGTAGTTAAAATAAAATTAAATCTTTAGAAAAAAAAGGAAGGGAGAGAGAGAGAGAGACTAATCATTACCAGGCGTGGTGGCACGCCTTTAATCCCAGCTCTTAGGAGGCAGAGGCAGGTGGATATCTGTGAGTGTAAGGCCAACCTGATCTATATAGGGAGTTCTAGACCACCCAGGCTAGAGTCAGACCCTGTCTCAAGCAAAACAAAAAAGACTATTAAGGAATGATTGATATATAGCGATTTTCAAAATAACATATGAATAGTGTCCAACAGCCAAAAAAATTGTTGTGTTTTTTTAAGAAACCAAAGGATTTTTTTTTTTTCCTAAATGTTGACACTTGTAGTTTTTTAGCTTGGGTAGGTTTTTCTGTTTGTTTTGGTTTGCCTAATTTAGTTCTTTATTTATTTTAGCTTTTTTTCTTTTTCTTCTTTTTTATAAGATTAATACCATTCACTTTTCAGTAGAAGAGCTGTCTGTGAGCCCCTTTTCCCGTTCTCAGTACTCAGTGCTCTCAGGCTACTTTTCTAGAGTTACCTCATAAATTATATCTGGTAAATTTTTCTGTTTGAGACAACAGAAAGAATGTTTGGAGATTCCATAATGTAGTTGATTTGACCAGTGAAGTTGAGTGTAATTGTTTGTTAGAAGTAATGGCTTATAAAAAATAGATTGTGATTTGTTTGAATTGCAGAAGAGAAAATTCCTGTGTGATAGTCCACAAAGTACTTCTTGAGTTAACAACAGTGGTGTGCATCTGTAACCTGGCTTCACTATACAGGCATCTAGGAGCCATGCACAGAGGAAGCGCTCATGTCATTTCCTTCCTCTCCTCACCAGCCTTGTTCTCTGTTTCCTTGGTTGCATCTTTCATCCAGGGTCGGCTCTGCCAATTCGTGTTTTCTCCTTTGATGGTGTGGATTGCATTTTCATTTTATTGAGGCCACAGTTGTCAGGAATCAAGTGAACAAGGTGCTTTGCAGGTTGTAATAACAAAACACCAACCTTGATTTCCAGCGCAGCACTGTGTGGAGTACAGGCCCATTACAGTGGGAATGTTCTGGTCTGTGTTGTTTAACAGTGGAAGCCACTAGCACTATGTCACTTCCGAACACTTCAGATGTGGTTCAGGAATGTGAGGAGTAAATGTAAATGTCTATATTGTTTAAACCTTTTAAATAATTTTGAACCTTGATGCTTTCCATTGCTGATGGTTTGTCTGGCTAGTAATACAGTAGTATGAGACAGGACAGTCACAGATGACCAACTTTAATCAGCTTCGTTGTTTACATCTGATATGTAGGATTTTCATATATAAACAATGGCCTTTTCATATTTAAAGGAATTTTTATGTGTGAAAAGAATGTTTCTGTACTAATTTCTTTTTTCTTTAATTGTATTTAGCATCAAAATGTTTTTTTCTCAAAATCAAAAAGATTCCCAGAATATTTAGATTACTGGGGAAAAGCAGTTGTTTCATATTCAAATGGATGAAAATGACTACATTTTGTTGTGGAAAATCGGATTGTTCAGTTAGTATGGTTTTATGAGAGTATGTGCAACACCAGTAAGTCACTATTGTGATTTTGCCATTGAGGTATACTTGGGTTCAGCTTGTTCTCTATTGCTTCTAACGTAATCTGAGTTTCCATACTTGATATTTTACTGATATTGCTTCCTAATGTTGGGGGGGACTAGGGCCAAGACCTTAGCATTTTTTAATAAAGTTTTTGATGATATACAAAGCATTTTACAGTTAAGATAGATTTATGCTATCTTGAGTATTTGACTGACTAGTTCTGCCAACTTGGTGATAAAATTGTGGCACAGGGTACCTCAGTACAGTGCACTGCGCAACTCCTTGGCATAGTGAACAGTGGTCTCTGACTTAGGGTGGTTCAATAGAATTTCTCCTGTATGATGATGCGAAAGTCATACCCTTCAGTAGAAACCATACTTCGAATTTTGAATTTTGCTCTTTTCCTGGCTAAGCCATATGTGATAGAATAGCCTTTCAATGTGGGCAATGGCAGCAGGCCATAACTCCCAGTCAGCTACACTCACGAGGGGAAACTCCCCACACTCGGTGGTGTGTACTGTGTTGCTGAACTCTGATTTGGGTAGGGTAATTGTATCTACTGCATTTTGAACCTTGATGCTTTCCATCTCTGATGGCTTGTCAGGCTGTACACCTGCCATGAGTCAAGGAGCCCTGCACTGTGTGGTGACTTTGCTATCCTCACGGGAGGAAAAAGCTGCTGTTCCTTTCCCACTAGGGGAAACTACTGATTTTTTTTTTTTTTAACTTTGACTTATTTAAAGGGAGAATGGGAGAGTCCGTGCCAAAAATAAAGAGACTTTCAGGAAAAGGTTTCAAGCAACAGACATCTCAAAATAGGAAGATGAGGCTGAAAAGGAGAGTGTGAGGCCAGATAATAGATCCAAAACATTATTTTCTGAAAACAAATTAACTTTGAATAAATGACATACACTCCCTGTAACAGCAGACCTAGGAAAACAGTCTGGATTAAGTAGACAGGTTCCCTTTACCCATGAGATGGGAAGTTCGGAGAAAGACAGGCTCAGCTGCTATTTTCATCTCTGACCTAGGCTCCTGTTTGACCTAAGTCTGTCTTGATGCAGCAGCACAGGCCAGCGAGGAGACAGTGGCATTTCGCCGTGAACGCAGCACATTTAGGCGCCAGGCAGTACGGCGCCGGCACAATGCAGGGAGTAACCCTACCCCTCCTACCTTGCTCATCGGATCACCCCTAAGGTATGGTATTTTGCAATTCCACCAAGTTTAGCATGCATGCAACAGACTGAACCTGTTCTGTCAGACACAAGAAGACGTTTGAAGAGCCTTGCTTTCCTCTCTCTCTCTTCTGCACATCCCCCGCTTCTCAGCTTTCTGTGCATGTTATGAGCCTGTTGCATTCTGCATGTCTTATGTTGCACTGTGTAAACAAAATGAACAGATTGATTTTGCCCGTGTTAAATTGCCAAAGCATTTCAGCAGTTATAGATGTGAAAATAACAGTCCTTAAGTTAGCTTTTCTTTTTTCTACTTCCACATGAATTATATTAATGAAACATCTTTTCTCAACATCGTGACAGTGTTCAATGTGAACAGATACAGAACCAAGCAGTGAGCTTGCTGAGAACTAAACAGAAAAATGACCTCACCTTAATAAGTCAGTTTGACTATTTCATGTCACAAAAATAGGATATTTTACTTTATGTATATTGTATAAAATTTGAACCCAGTAAAGGATGCAGAGCTAGAAAATTTATATAAGGTATTATCAGCTGTGTATTTCTTTTTACATACAAAGACACGTTAAATTGTCTATTGTATATTAAAAGCATTTTTATTTTTTCCAATATTCTCAAATAGGAAAATAACCGTTTATGATATTGGGGATAAATTTTAGTTTTTAACAATTTTAATTGCATCAAATTTAAAGAGTTCATGTCTTAAGTTAGAACTATGAAGAGCCATTCAGAAGACTTGTGCTTTCCATTAGAAAGACAGATGTCAGCATCTGTCTGAGTGCTTGCACAGGCAGTACACATTACACACAACAGGGCATTCCTGTCACCTCTGCCGTAGCACCACTGTACAAGATCTTTTCCTGCCATGTTGTTACTTTAATTTTCAACTTCCTAAGGAAGAACGTTAGCTTCTCTTGAGTACATAGTGGGTTAAGAGAGAGAGGCCCTACCGTGCCCTTTTTAAAACTTCCTTCTAAGCCGGGCGTGGTGGCGCATGCCTTTAATCCCAGCACTCGGGAGGCAGAGGCAGACGGATCTCTGAGTTCAAGGCCCACCTGGTCTACGTAGTGAGTTCCAGGCCAGCTGAGGCTACAGGGAGACCCTGTCTCAAAAAGACCAAAAAAAAGACAAAAAAAAACAAAAAAAAACTTCCTTCTTAGGAATAACAAAATCCTATTTAAAAAAATTTTCATTTTATATTCCCCTGAAATTGAAGACTGAGTTTTTTTTCTTCTAGGTTTTACATTATAGCCGGGAATTTCATCTTTCATAGGACATGTTCCTAATTCCTTCAGTAATATATAATGTCATTATATATGTGTACATATATATATTAAGCCAATATTTGAAATATAAAAATGGGAATTAACCAATTTGAAGAAGCATCTGTTTTAGAACCTCTGCTTCTGTGAGCCCTCGTGTTTCCTTCCTGCCTCCTTTTCCTTTCCCTTCGCAGGACGTGCCTTTCTGCTGGTAGATTGGGCACAGTCCCAGTGTGTGGAAGGACATTTACCTCCTTTTTCCATTTTGTTCCTGACCTCTTTTGCTTTTTGCTTCCTGGATGAAACATGCTACAGACAGTTTCTTTGCCTTCCTGCTCTCCCCATGTTGCTGGTTTTTTAAACATTCTACCTGTTTTTACACTTAACCCTTTCATTCTTTGCCATGAATGAGCCTGCCCAACAAATGTACATAGGTTAGTTGTTTTTCTCCCTCTCACTCTGTCTGGTGAAATATTAGAGCTACTCTTCTAATTCCAGCCAGTCAGTGTTTCCCAATCTCTTTACAGGATTTTAGATCTGTCACATCTTGGAAATGGTTCAGAATTTACATCTAAAGGGCTCATGTTTGATTTTTTTGAAAGCTGCCTTCTAGTAGTTAGCATAGGGCTGGGGCAATAGCTCAGCCATTAAAGGCTAAAGCTAACAACCAAAATGTCAAGAGTTCAGTTCCCAGTAGTTAATATGCAATTTTTGTTGTGACTCCAGTATGTTTCCAGTACAGATGTTGCATATGTCCTATATAGGCTGACCTTGTTATGGGCAAAATAAAATAAAATTTAGTTGTAGGAATGAGGGGAAATACCAACTTACCAAAATTACCTTTTGAAATTGTAAAAAATATTCATATTCAGGAAAGGTATATTGTGGTGTTTTTTAGTGTGAATGGAATAATCTCCTTTTTAATGAATATAGGTTAGAATGGCCATTTAAAATTTGGAAAAACATTTTGTTAAAAAAGAATAAAAAGGCCGGGTGTGGTGGCGCATGCCTGTAGTCCCAGCACTTGGGAGGCAGAGACAGGCGGATCTCTGGGAGTTCAAGGCCAGCCTGGTCTACATAGTGAGTTCCAGGACAGCTGGGGCCACAGGGAGACCCTGCTTCAAAAGGACCAAAAATAAATAAATAAATAAATAAAATAAAATAAAATAAATAAATAAATAAAAAGGCTATGACAGTACATTCATTATAGTTTCTGTATAAATATAGTAAAAAATTTTCTAGTAGCTTCCTTTGTCCATGGGGGGATATGTTCTAAACCATGGGTTCCCGAAACCATGGGTCATAAAGAACCCTGTAGATTGGTCTCTCCATATGCACGTTCTTATAATACAGTGTAATTTATACATTCAGCACAGCAAGAAATTAACAGTAACTATGAATAACGTGGCAATTATAAGAATACAATAAATGAATCATTCAAAAATTATGAACCGTTTCTGATATTTTCAGTTGAATATTTTGAGATTGATGGTGACTGTAGGTAGTTAGGCCCACAGAAGCAAAACCTCTGCTAAATAACTTACTGTGAACTTTAGTGAGTGGATAGTTTTAGTAATTAACAATCCCAAGAGAAATGTGAGAAAATATCTGTTTACAAGCATTAGGATTGCATCATCCACTTCCTCACAAAGTTTTTATGTTTTTTTTTAAATTATGTTTATTAAAATAAACCCCTTAAGAATTATTTCCAAAAATGTTTTTCAAATTAATCAGGTGTGATGGCACACACCTTTAATCTCAGCATTTGGGAGGCAGAGCCAGGCTGAGCAAGTTCTAGGCCAGCTAGGGCTACAGGGAGACCTTGTCTCAAAGGACCAAAAACAAATAAAAAAGTTTTTCAAATTAATTTAGGGATGTAGGTAGGTTTTGTAGGTGCTAGCTCATTTTTTTCCAGTTACTAGAGCTAAAAATAAAGAGAAGTAAATTTTTTATGATGTAACTATAAAGAGTTCTGTATTTATTACCCTACATGTCATGTGTTTTTAAATCCTTAATTAGTAGACTGAACTGGAAAGAAATCCTCTGTATTTTGGTGAAGAACAAAAAGCTTTAGTATATTTATAACTTTATTTAAAATAGTGATTAAAAGAACTTTAATAAAATAACACCATAGTCATACTGAAGAATCTGAGATTAGATTCATAATGGATCATTTTATGCTCAGATTTGAATCCATCAAATGTTTCTTGTTTGTATACTATATTTAAGACATTCTTTTCTCTGGAATCTGTAGATTCTTAGCAATAATGGAGTCATATTCTTAGAGTTTACATTTTAGTTGGGGACATACATACAAGGTAATGGACAATGTAAGGCACAATTGCCAATGACCACTTTCATGTAGAGAGGACAGAGTGACCAAGAGCAGCCATACACCTGTTATTAACTTGGAAATGCTAATTGGTGTGATTGCATGCCAGCCATAATGATAGACTTAGATTTCCTTTTGCTGTGCTATGACGTATTTGCTACTGTTAAAAAGAGATGTGTTTATGTCTATTATTTATCTAAAATGAAATGCAACCCTCCAAGAATCTGTTTCCTAACAATTTGTGCTAAAAATCAGCCTTTTCTGTTGCCGTTAAAGGGTTTTGAAAATAGGAATTCAAGTGGCATAAGCATTTTATTACTAGCTTTTGATATTTAAAACTTGACATTTATAATCATAGATTTTTGGCTAATTTCCTTTATTTAGCCTGGAGTTTACTTTCATGCCCAATATTTTGAAAACATTTTGTCTGTTTGGATAGACGTTGTGCATCTCTGGCTTGAAGGGAGGGGGCTATAGTCTTAGATATGTTCACATTACAATGTGGCTAACTGTGATAGGTTGCCTTTGCCTTGACTTTAATTAAAAATATTGATAGAAAATTTTTTGCAGTACAGAAGTTTTGGGTTAAGTATAAACTTTGCTATCATCAGAATCTGAAATTTCACAGTATTTGAACATTTTCCTATTTTCTCATGTGAAGCTTGGTCATTTTGATAAGGTTCGTGGATGAGTTTAGATAACTTCTAAGGAAGAGTATCAGCTCAGTTATGTTGCTGGAAGGTAAAAACAACTGTGTTCATATTCTTGAGATAATTTTTTCCTCTTTAAATTTTGCAGTGCTGGAGATTGAACTCAGGGCCTGCCACATGCTAGGCAAAGGCTCTGCCATTGAGCTATATTACCAACATTTCAAGATCATCTCTTGATTAATAGCTATTGGGAAAATACTTAGTTTAAATAAACTATTAAGCATGTTTATATATATAAAATAATGCCAGCATGATTAGCAAGTCAAACATTTGAAGACTTGCTTTTCTCCTGTTAGAACAATTCCTAGGTGCTGTCTAGATTGGATACCTTTCGGTAGTTCTTAATCAAGCCAGAAGAATGAATGTGCTGGTTAATATAACTGTTTGATGAAAGAAATATTCAAACTCTCTACTGTCCAATGTGACAGGCATCAATTATTACTTCCTGCTCACTTTGGTGGCATTAGCTGTGGTATGTAGTTATTGTACTTGAAATGTGGTTAACCCAAGTGAAAAACTAAAATTTAGTTTAAATATCCCGGGCCACTGTAAGGCAGTGTAGTTCCAGGGCATTTTACTGCCACACCTGCAGTGTTTGTATTTAGTCTTCCCACTTGGCCTTTTCTTCCATTGTCAGTCAAAGCACCAAAGAAACCATTGTACTGGATGCAGAGGATCAGAGCAGGTAGTCAAGAAGGGTTTCCTCAGAAATGATAAAGTAGGTTGGGCCATTGCCAGTGCTGTTCTTTTTGCTCTAGCAGTCTGGTGATTCTAGTGACAGGCTCTAGAATTACTCATAGTTAAACTTAAATTGACTCAGAAGCATTACTGGAGCATCACGTGAAGAATGATGTAGATAGTTTAAAAGTTTTCATGTGCATCAGTTTAAATTTGAGCAAATCTTCTATTAAGAATGTTAAAATTCATGTGACCTTAAATAGTTATAAAAATAAGTTAGCTGGATGTGGTGATGCACACCTTTAATCCCAACACTTTGGAGACAGAGGCAGGCAGAGTTCAAGGCCAGCCTGGTATACACAGCAAGTTCCAGGCCAGCCAGTGTGACATGGCAAAACCCTATCTCAAACTGTCTCAAAAAATAAAAAGAGGTTAGTAATACAGGAAAATTAGTTTTATAAATAATTTTATAAAAATAAATTTATAAAGCTGGACATGGTGGCACATGCCTTTAATCCCAGCACTCGGGAGGCAGAGGCAGGTGGATCTCTGTGAGTTCAAGCCCAGCCTGGTCTACATAGTGAGTTCCAGGCCAGCTGGAGCTACAGGGACACCCTGTCTCAAAAGACCAAAAAATAAAAGAAAATTTATAATAAAATACTAAAATTTTTTGAAATTGTATTAAATTTAGACAACAGTAGAATATTCTTTGAGAAATTACAGGTTTCCCAATTATTAAGGTTTTCCAAAATAATGGATCATTGTTAATGAGAATTCAGCTTTGACTGGAAATCATATAACAATCATGGGAACATGATTTTTAACTAATACTTTGTATAAAATGCATGTAGTCTTACTCAAAAATGTAGAGGCCTTTATAGATGATTCTTACATTAATTTTCCTGTCAATATCCCAGTGGCCATTTGTGTTTCACTTGATTGAGTCAAGTATTTGGTTCTTTTGCTCTACTTTGTGATTTTCTTTTGATTAATAATTGTATTTTGTTTCCATTTGATAGAGATTCTTTGGTTATCAAATGTGTAGCAACTGTGTTTTATTGTGAACTGGAGATCTTAGACTATTTGAAAGAAAATTCTAGGATTATTACAAGGTTATAAATAAAAGTGTGTGTTTAACTGAAAAACAGTTTACCTATTGGAGTCCAGCACCAAGCCAAGTTGGTTGAATGTATTTATGATTCTTTGTTGCTTTTCTGTTTCTTTACTCTAGAATTTAGTTGGCTTGTGCTGGAAGAAAGTTGCAGATTGACAGTTTGCATCTATATTAAATGTTTATTGCATTCATTACTATGAGTCAGATTGATAAAGACCAAAACAAGTATAATCTGTATAATTGTACAAAGCTTCTTGGCTCTTTCTTAGGTTATTTGAAGTGTCATTGTTGAAATCAGTTCTGTATTGATTTCATTCTGGCTGTTGTTTTCTCTTTTCTTCCCTGTAATGTCTCCCCAATCCATGTTTTTTCCTAGCCTTCAAGATGGTCAGCAAGGCCAGCAGTCCACAGCCCAGGTCAAAGTCCAGTCCCGCCCCCCATCCCAGGCTGCAGTGCTCAGTGCTAGTGCCTCCTTGCTGGTGAGAAAAGGGAGTGTCCACTTAGAAGCCTCACATGACCATGCATCTGCTGTAGGCGGTAGCAGTTTGCAGGATGAACTTGGTATGCAGGCTTTACGTAATCTTGGTGTTTGGAAACTTTAATCTGCAGTGAATGGGTAACAGCGATTGCAGTTCTTTTCTGAGATAGCTCTGTTTTTATTGGGTTTTTTTGTGCCGAGTGTAAGAAAACGACTTTTCTTTTTCTGTTTCTCTTTACTCTTACTCTTTTTCTTTTGAGCGTATCCATTACTAATAGGCAGGTGATACATTGACAAATGTTCCTACCACAGCATTTGTTCTCTCAAAACAATGTGGGCAGTTCTGTTATTTCCAGGCATTTGTACCATCTGAGAAAATGTGGGTTCTTTTAAAAAGTGATTTTGAGAAAATCTTAATTTCCTTGAATTATTTGAGTATGTTATTCACAGGGAAGGTAGACGTGCTGTCTAATAGTCTGCCACTCTACAGTCTGGTTGTGAAGTGTTCTGTATTTTGCAATATGTTCATCACTTGCAGTAGGATTTGTTAAAATTTTAAATGCAGTGTTCTGAGGACAACATCGTTCAGTACTCATAATAGATTACTTTATAAAATATTTCATTCTCCTGTTAATATATGTATAAATATACTCATAAATTATTAAAGTCAATTTTCAGAGATGCAATATATTTTAAAGCCTCAATTATAGTCCATCAACTCAAATGCATGCTTTGTGCATTAAGGACAGATTTTTATGCTACTTAAAAATTTTATACTAGTAGTAGATTTTATACTACTTTTTTATGTATTTGTGTGTTGTGTTGCGTGTGTGTGGATTTGTGTTTGTACATATATGTGTATGTGTGTATGTGCATGCCTGTGGAGGCTAGAGGTTGACATCAGGTGACTCCCTCAGTTCTCCACCGTATTTTGTGAGGTAGACTCCCAGTGAGCTGGAGCTGACTGACTCGGCACCCCCAGCTGGCCAGAGCTCCAGAGACCTGTTTTCCTCCTCCCAGCTCTGGGGTCACATGTGCAGGCCTTGCTTGGCTTTTTACTTGGCTGCTGGGAGTCCAGACTCATACCTTCATGTTTGTAAGGCTTTTCCTTTTGAATTTGTGATTTGGAGAGGCAAGAAAAGTCTCTTAAGGTGCTTGAGCGAGAATAAGGTAGACTTCAGTTTAGCCATCTTTTTAGTTGCAGTTGCACTTTACTGGCTGAAAGCAATTTCCTGGCCTATCTACTTTGATTTCTGTTTCTCTGAATGATTCAGGTTTCTTGTACTCATATTAATCATGGTTTAAATAAATCTATAAGGAAAATCTTGTTATTCAGTAACAGTGAATACTGACAGTGTTTACTCAATTTGATATTGTTGACTGTATTCTAACAGCTTTACCCCTATAAAAATGTCTCTAATTTGAGTTAGCTAGAAGGATATGTGGTAATAAAAAAAATTGAGTTTAATAAAACGTAATATGCTATTTATTCATTGACTCTTTTCCATTATGTAAACCTTAGTTACAGAGAGCTATTAATAAATATGTAAATGTACAAATCTCAACTTCAAAATGGTCATCTAAGGAGTTTATAACAGTGCCATGTTTCGGAGTTTCTAAATAAAATAAGAAAATAATCCAACTCTTCAAATTTAGAATGCTTTTCCTTTTGAATTTGTGATTTGGAGAGGCAAGAAAAGGCTCAAGATGCTTGAGAGAGAATAAGGTAGACTTCAGTTTAGCTACTGTTTTAGTTGCAGTTCACATTTTTTAGATGCAAACGTAGCCCATTATGTGATAATAGCAATGCTGATCACCACTGACCCCAAAGTTCCCATGGACACAGGCTTTTGACTGTGAGCATAGATTCCAGTAACTGTCTGTCTCATTGCCTACTGGCTGTATGGTGGTAGACTGGCTAGAGTCAGGCTTCAGTTTTACCTGTTTTAGAGGTTTAGTTGACCTAGATTATTTTCCTCAGGACGGATTCTGTACTTAAAAAGAAGCCAGGTGAGGCCAGTGAGGTAGCTCAGCTGGTAAAGGCACTTTCTGCCAAGCCCGACGACCTGAGTTTGATCCCCAGAATCCACATGGTAGGAGGCGAGAGCCAACTCCCCCAAACTGTCCTCTGACCTCACACACGTTAGCTGTGGCACTTACATGTCCACACACACACACCTTCAAATAGAAATAAATAAGTAAAAAATATTTTTTAAGTCAGGCATGGTGACGTATGCCTTTAGTCCCAGCACTTGGGAGGCAGAGGCAGGTGGATCTCTATGAGATTGAGGCCAGTCTGGTATGTCTAGCTAGTTCCAGGCCAGCTGGAGCTACAGGGAAACCCTGTCTCAAAAAAAAAATTTTTTTTAAAGCTAAGTAAGCTTTAGTTATAAAGCATTACTTTAAGAAATATGTTTATTTTTATTTTACATATATGAGCATTTTGCCTCCATGTATATAAGTATATCCATGCATGTAATGCCTGTGGAGGCCAGAAGAGTCCCTGGAACTGGAGCTATTAACCATTGTTAGCTGGGAACTGAACCTGGGTTCTCTCAAGAGCAACAGTGCTCTTACCTCTGAGCCATTTCTTCTGCCCAGTAGAGCCTCATTTTAAAGCCACATGCAGATTATTAGAGATCTGTGCATCTGAACTGTCTTGGAATTTTCCCATTCAAATTCTAACCATACCCAACTCTCCTTAGCTTCTGAGATCAGACAAGATGGGGTGTATTCAGGGTGGTATGGCCACAGACCTATTCTGATTGTCCATAGTTCGGTATCTATTGGGGGATGCTTAGGGCATTCTCTTGATATTTGGATTTTTTCTTTTGTAATAGCTAGTTTCTATCCTTGCCTTTTGTAACTGAATACTGCCACATTACATACTTAGTAATAGCTAGCACAAGACAATGAATGGAAACTGAGTACCTGTTCATAGCACATAAAACTATCCCTAAAGATTCTGAACCTGGACTGCAACTGACCATAAAGCAGCAGATTTAGAGAAACCAAAATATATTTGTAACATGGTTTAATTTTCTATGTGACTTTAAGTGACAGTTTTACTTTTAAGTACTATAATTTTTTTTTTTTTTTTGGTCTTTTTGAGACAGGATCTCCCTTTATCCCCCACTGGCCTGGAACTCACTATGTAGACCAGGCTGGCCTTGTTCTCACAGAGATCCACCTGCCTCTGCCACCCAAGTGCTGGGACTAAAGGAGCACACCACCATGCCTGGCTAGTACTATAATTTCATATGAATGGATTTGGGTGCTATATGTTCAAATGTTTTTTTTTTTTAAAGTTAGCTTCAGGGAGCTGGAGAGAATGCTTAGCAGTTAAGAACACAGACTGTTCTTGCAGAGGACCCAAGTTGTATTCCCAGCACCCACATGGAGGCTAACAATTGTCCAAAACTCCAGTTCCAGGGGATCTGCCACCTTCTCCCGACCTCCATAGACATTGCACAACATGGGTGCACTTACACACATGCAAGCAATACACTCATACACATAAAAAATAAAAAAATATTTAAAAAAAAAAAAAGTTCACCTTGAGACTCAGCAGACAGCCCAGCAGGTAAAGGTGCTTGTGTATGAGTATATTGAAAAGGAAATTTCCATCAGAATTTTCCAAATCATCCAGTGTAACATTCTGTTCTTTATTTTGAAGGTACAGTGGGGGCAGAGGACAACACCAGGTGCAAGCCTTCTTCCAGGGCCACCCACCCTGGATTTTGAGACAGGGTCTCTCACAGCCTAGTATAAAATATATAAATATAGGTAATATTTCTCTAATTAAAACTTTCTTGATTGGGTTAATATTTCAGGGGATTAAAATTGATTCCTAAATTTTTTTCTTTGAGCTTTTTTTGTATCACTACTGAACAGAGATCGACAAAATGTTGAGATAATCTGCTTTACTCTAGAGCTTGTTAACTTGAAAATGTATTCTGCTCAAGAAAATGCACAGGAGATTTGAGAACACCCTGTTGCCCTTCTTATTAAGCAGTTTACAGTGGCTGTGCATTATTAAGCAGGAGTATAATCTGAAAGCTTTAATTTTTTTTATTTTAAAGCACAGAATCTCCAATGACCTAATATTTTAGTGATTTTTACTAGTCTTATTATTAAAAAATATTTCATGTACTGTTCCATTCATTTGGGCTGTATCTTAAGTTCTTTTCTTCTTGACTATAAATTGGGTCAAAGGACTGTGTTAGACAGCACTGCGGTAGATCATTTTCATTCATCTGAACAGCGTAGTTATGAATTCTGGGACTGGAGAGATGGCTCAGCTGTTAAGAGCACTGGTTTGGTTCTCAGCACACACATGGCAGCTAACAACTATCTGTAACTCCCATACAGTGATCTGATGCCCTCTTCTGGCCTCCAAGAGTATTGCACCAATCAAGTGCACTTACATACATGCAGCTAAAACACTCATATTCATAAAATAAAGATAAATCAAAGTAGTTATATTCTTTTTGCAACAACCTTGCTCAATTCTGTGTGGGAACCTTCTTTTGGGGAGTAAGGACAACATAAAATAGAGTGTACAAATGAAAGTAAAATGTTTATTTTTGTTGAAACGGTAAAACTGTTTTGTATCTAGAAGGGAGAGTGTTAAATGGTGGAGGCGATGTATTTTATCAATGCTTCCCTTTGATAGGAATTCAAATGTGCTTTTCCCCATCCTTAGAACAGAAATACAAGTCTGTAAATATTGGGAAATATACTGAAGAAAATTAAGTCATCTGTGATGTCATCACTCAGAGTGCCACCAATGATATTTTGTGATTATTTTTTTCATTCCTAGTTCTTTTAAAATACACATACATATAATTTCCCAGTTGAGACTGTATTATATAACTATTGTGCTTTTGTTTAAGTTTTTTGTTTGTTTTTGTTTTATTTGTTTCTTTTTTGTTGTTGTTTTAGTTTGGTTTGGGTTTTTTTTTTTTTTTTAATAACCATATGATTAGAAGGAGCATTTCATTACAGCTTTAACATATTCAATAACAAACTCCAGAGCAAAGATATATCTTTTTCAAAAGTGGCTGTAAATTTTTAGGTTCAC